TTGAACTTGCGTTTTCTCAAACACTATTTTTGCTCCGAGTTGGCGAAGGGAAACGAAAGGAAGCCCCCCCAATTTTGGGTGTCCCCTAAAGAAAGACACACCCATTTCTCTTTTGAGACCCATTTGTGACCTTGAAAAGAAAGCATCAGTACCCTTCTTTCCACCATTGCATCGGACTAATTCTTTTTGAAGAAGTCTCATTTGGGTTTGCCTCACGGTTTGCACCTCGACATGAGTGGTTTCCCTTCAACACCCCGGAATGTCTATCTTCCATCAGGGTTCTATTGGGGTTCCTTATCTTTTACCACCTCCTGCAACTCCCAGTTGCGCACTTGGCTCCGGCCCGGTGCCGTGTCAACAGCTTCCGCAAAAAAAATCCTCAGGTCATGCGCCTGTCCGGCACCCCGGACATCAAGAGCATCACGGAGAAGCACGCGTCTTGCTCTATGGGTGGGGTCTCCAGTTTTCTTATTCTACATTTCAGGGTGGACTGAAAGTGAAGCAGCTGGGCAGGGTTGTGGGAGTGAGGACTCTTTCCCCACTTTGTAATGGTACCCAGCAATTCAAATTGTCATTCACGGTAGACTACCAGTGTTGGGCATTTCCCACAACCCTGTTCTGGGGTGACCAAGGGACACCTCCCCACCCTTTAGCATCCAAGAGGAAAATGTACGAAAACCTCTGTCTTTAGTTTGTTTCTCCATTATTTGCACCCATTGTTCTTTTGCAAAGCGGCTACACAATGCCACTTTTACAAAACATGTAAACAACAAAAAGGCAACAACAACAACAAGACCTGTGGATTCTACTTTTTGTTGCAAACTGGCCAGCTAAAAATGGCCGCTTTTACAAACCATGTAAAAATCCAAACCCTCGTCGATTCTTTTTTTCTTCAATTGGCCGCTTCTATCTAAGAGTGGCCAGCTTGCACGAGCCAGCCAAAGACCCTTTTGCTTCGGCATAGGGCTGGTCACGGAAATTCCGAGAAGAACTGCTAAAAAGGAACCCACCGTGACTACGAAGCACCTATGGTCTGTAGAGTTCTGGGGAGTTCTGATGGCACCTAAGCAGAAGCAACCGACGATTCTTTTTTTCTCGGATGTCCAGGTAATTACCACCAACCTGGCGGACCACATCGTGCCGCTGCCCATGGACTTCCTCACGGCGCGTCTCGGTTTTTCGGGGGCGGGGGGGGGGGGGGGGGGGGGTTTTTTGGGGCTTAGTCCGGGGGTGAGGGGTGGCAACAACATGTTGGGGGGCCCTTTTTAGGGCCAACGGGATTGTTTGTGGAACATGGGGTTGTCTCAACTGGGATATGGGGCCCCAAAACAGGCAGTTTCTCTGTGGTTTCCGCTTGGAACAGACCCACAAAGCAACTCCCTGAGCACACAAGAATTGCTTCGGACACTTGCGTCCAGGGCATAAAATGGGGTTGGAGGGGGATACGTCATCACGTCTTGGTACCCTTCGTGGGGTCAACCGTGACGAGGGTAGATACCCATTTGACACTGGCAAATAGTTTGAAAGCTCGGGCCGAGGGCCCTCCCTCCCTTTCTTTCAAGTCATGGCCCTTTCTCTCTTTTCAAAAGAAGCCCCCCTTGGCTTTTGGTAGGCCCCTCGTCTGTACCCGCGTTTTGCGACTCGTCTGTACCCGCTGGAATCCCTTTTGTTTTTTTCTTTCCAAGAGGTATTGGGTTTTCCTTCCACTTCCCCGTCCGCAACCCCAGCTGAACCCAAGCGCCAACCGCAAGTGGACGACCGAGGCGCACCTACCAAGGCCTCGAGCCGGCTGCCAAGCTCTAGGACCGGCGGCGTGTCGTCGTCAGCTTTTTGGAGGATGCCCGATTTTGAGACGGGGAGCTGGATCTTTTTTTTTGAAAGGAGACATGGCCAATGTAGGCGGGACAGCCTTTTGGAGGACAAATGGGACACCCTCGACATTTCGCGTGTCCAATTCCTATTTTTAGACAAAGTTAAAATGGAGATGGACAAATGGGAATGGTTTCCCTTGGTTGCCACATATGGGTCAGTTTGTATACCAAGGGGATGGATGGGGTCTGAATGAATTTCCATTTTGTGTGGAAGAACTGAAATAGCCGGAGGGTGTCTAAAGTCTAAAGCGAAGCTTAAAAGGGTGTCTTAAAGGGAGTTGGAGTCGAGCAGTTGGAGGGTTTCTAGCCAGAAGAAGACAACTGCTTTCTTGTGAGAGCTGGAATTTGGGGGAAGGATTTAGCATAGCCCTGCGTTGCCATTTTGTCTGGTTGTCCAACTCCAAGTCGCGCTTATGGGAACCGGAGCCCCCCCTCACTCCTCTATTGGTTGATTCCCTTCTGTCCAGCTCCTCGATCGTTTCGCATGCTCCGAACCTATGACCAAACCACAAAGGCCGCGACATCGCCCTTGATCCTTCTGTTTTCTTTTCGGGGACATATTTTCCAGGGGGCCCACCAAACATTTTGGTGGGTGTTCTTTTGGTTTCCCTTTCAAACCACGAACGAAGGGGTTAATTGTTGATTACCCACAAAAAAGACACCCGGAAAGAGTGGTCGTGCTTGTTTGTTCACCCTAGGATCACAGCGAGGCAACGCGACCGCGCTGTTCAACGTGCAGTTGAGGCGATGTTCGCAGTCTCGAGCACAGGCCGAAGTGTCTGCGAGGGTTGGGCAAAAGTCGCCTGAGCATCTGACAAGTTGTTCAAGCGACCACCAGAGGATGCTGTTCACATTGGACGCGTGATCCGCACATGCTTGAATGAAGTTTGCCCAGCCCTATGTGTGAGGGAATTGCCCATGGGCTTTTTCCGCGTCCCAATTCCCTCCCCAGATGCTGGCCGAGCAAAGTGCAGGTTTACCGGCAGCTTTGGCCGGATTTCTTCACGGAGTGCATGTCACAGATGTGTCAGTTTCGATAGCTGCGATGGCGCGGGCGGGATCGGAGTGTCGAACAGAATCTGCTCCCCATTAAGGGCAGGCGCATGCGCTCACTCCGACCCCAGTCCATTTCTCCCGGTTCTTTCGCAGGTGGTTCTTGCGGGCAGGGGGAAAGGCAGACACGTAGAAAGGCAGGTGCTAGATGGGTGTGTCTTTTGGGACCAACTTTGTATTCCAGGGGTTTGTCGTAAATAGGACTACCAACGTTGGATGGTTTTAAGAACGGCCACCAATCAATTAGAGGGTTATAGATGGTTCCTTGTTTTCCCTGTTAAATGCTAGCTTTTGAAACGGCCTGGTCAAAAGGAACGTAGTCCCAATAGGGTCGGAAGAGAGGCCTCAAGTCTCACAGTGCCCATGTGAGCTTTCGTCAAGGTCACAGGACAACTCTGGGCAAATGACAACTCGTTGAGCGATTTGCGAGTGTTTTCACCTTCAGGGCGCCCGTCACAGGGATCCCATGATTTTTCCTGGTATCTTTGCTTGGTCTGCTTTGCTTTCTTTTTGTCGGGCACAACTGCTATCATTTAATTGGAAAGAACCAGTTGCCAATGCCCTGGAAAAAGCGAAGGCCCTTGCCAGCAGAGCCTACCATACAAGAGCATGAAACACTTGCGTACGCCACCCATGAAGGTCTTGGGGCTCCATTTTCTCATTTCATGGGTTTAAACAAAAAGGCAATGCGACATCCGCAGCTGACATCCCCTGCTTGTTCGCATCCCTGGCCGAACAGGGCGCTCGCAGAAATCAGCCCAGCACCGAGCAGGGCGCACGTGCCTGAATTGAGCCGCGCAGCCCGGGGGTGCCTGGAAGGCTGAGCGCGGTTTTGGGCCAAATTTTGTCGTTCTTTCCTCCAAGTTGTTTTTTCTCCCCCGGAGATTTTGCCTTTTCGGTGGTTTCAAGTACACTTTTGGGCCGATAATAGTTGTGTGTTGGATGTGAAAATAGCCATGATTGTTCATTTGCTTTGTTTGTTTGGATGGATGGATGGATGGATGACAGAAATCTGAGCGAAAGGATAGATGGAGGGCAGCGGACCACGAATTAGCTGCCAATTCTGGGCAAAGGACATCGCACACTTAGAGAGGTTTTGGTTTGCGACCATTTTCACCCGATGACGTCATTTCAGGATTTCTTGTTTCAGGTCGGGCACTGATTTTAACTGATTCAGATATCTCCACCAAAAATCATGGTGCACTTATGGCAAACCAGCCACCAAAGGCTGGCTTGTTCTGATTCAAACATGTTGCGCCCCTAAAACTGCGCGCGGCAGTCCAAATTTCGGTCAGCCCTGACCCAAGTCCGAGCCCCCACCGTGCGGTTCCAATCCGCTGCACGGTGGTTGGGTGGTGAGCACTAGAGCCAAAACGTTGGGCTGGCGCAGTCAGCTCCTTGGGTTGTGTTTTCTGCGGGGGTTGGGTTCTACGAAAGGAGAGGGGGCTGCGGTGAGCAACGAATTCTTCCATGGACAGAGTGCCGGGACCCCCCAAACATGTAGACGCTCCTCGAAGGGAGTCTCCAGATTTTCCCCGAAGGGGCCAAACGGCAAACCCCACATCGCTGCTCAGGGAACCCGGAAACCATGGAGGGTGGTTGAGGCCGCCCTGCCCATTCCCCGTTGACACCTTCACTAGGGGAGGTTGAATGGACCTGAATTCCCAACTCGCCCCAGGTGAAGCTTTATGCAATGCCTCTTAGGGCCAGAACCGCGGGTAGACTGGGAAGGGTATGTCAGGCTAGCGGTATCCCGCGAATGAGCTGGGCCCTGCTATCAGATGTACGGGGTACAATGGTCCGATCAGCCTCACTCAACGGGTCCAGAACAAAGCCCCGATCTGTCGAGGGGCTTCCCCAAACCCTCGAGGTTACTCAGGAAATTGCACCCAACACTGCGCCCAAAAAGGAGCCCATCTTGTTTGAACTCCTAGTTCACCCTATCCACACAGGGCTGGATGAGTTTCTATGAGTTTCTTGTTTCCCAGAGCTTCCCTCTCACACCTTGCCCCATCAGCCTTTTGCCCCGTTTTTGGGGCACTTCCTTTGCTGCTGCGGCAGCCGATCTTTTGCCAGTCCGCGCGCTTCTACACGGCCTCCATCCTCATCGCTGTGGAAGCGCTCTGGGACCGAAACGCCCGAAGCCCGGGCAACCGGAAGGGACCGGCTTCAGAGTGCGTGCAACAGTGTAGCCCTGACAGACCCGGTGTGACCTAATTACCTGATTTCCTCAGGCGAACCCTGGAAGCAAATGTGCCAAAAAGCAGGGGTCTCGACATTTCACATCTTGGGTGGTTTAAATGTGACTACCTAAATAGAGCTTTGTGCGGGTTGGGTCGATGAGTTGTCACTTTTCCGCCACTTGCAGGCTTGCAGGCTCTGCTTTAAGATGAACACATGCCACTGTTGGAAGATGCTCATTCAGCCTTGCTTCGACACCATCGGCGCCCAGCTTTCAGGGGTGGGGCTGGCGTTTGTAGGGAGCCCCTATAATCTAGCGAGCCCTTTGCCATTTGCTTTTTTTCCCAAAGTGAGTTTTTCCCAAAGTGAGTTTTTCCGTAAGCTTCATCTCTCGACCACAGGTGGTCTACCGAGACCTCAAGCCCGAGAACGTGATGTTGGACCAGGAGGCCGGAGTGAGACCGTGTGAGGCCGCGTGAGATCGTTCAAATCTCGCGTGTTCAGCTCCTTTCTGTTAGGCTTCATCATCGAGGACCAACACAAATCAAACCTCAGGCCAGTCAACTCGGATAGTCAACTCAGGTCAGAAATGCAGGGGGACTCGGTCCCAAGGGTTTCGTCAGTGGAAGACTCCTAGCCCGACTGGAAACGACCTCAGACCACGGAGCACGATGCTATTTCGGAACATGTTGTCGCAGCACGGTGAATCTTTTCGATGAGGTTTGGCTTGGAAGCGCAAAGATAATTCAACTCTCATTTTGGTGGGACACAAGAAGTCCACTAGAACCAGCAGGATAAACTCAAAACGACCATTGGGATTCCAAGCCCGTAGAAGAACAGAACCAACAGAATACTTCCAATCCAGACAGCTCCTTTCGTAACCCAGGGGAAGGATCTTGTCGATTCTTGCTTTCCCACCGCACCGATTTGGGGGCAGGGGCTGGGGGCGGCACAAGCTATTTTTCCCACTGTTCTTTTTCCTTGTCCATGATGAAGGTTCTTGACTTGCGGATTCCATCGGATTCCTGATTTCCAGTTTGTTGTGAATTGCAGCATTTGACCCAGCAACTTCATGATTGTGATAAGGGCTCAGGGCGATTCGAGCAAGTGACACACTTGTACTGAGAAGACAGTGGCGAATCAATGTGGACACGTATCAAGAGGTTCGCAACCCAACTTGGTGGCTGTTTGGCCAAGCCAACAGAAGGGAGAAAAGGTTCGTCCCAAACTGGGTTCCAGAACCCTCTCGCGTTGGTTGTGGTTTCTTATAGGCTTCCCTTTGAAGCAACTTCCAACTGGGGTTTACCCACCACTTAGAGATCACCCTTCCGCCAATTTTATGGCGAGCTCACCCATTAGGGGGTAAACCGAGCTCACCGTGATGTTGGTAAATAGACTTGATACATGTGTGTGTGTATCTTCAAGGGTACCATTTTCTCACCTTGGTTTGAAGGGAAACCTAAGGAAACCACGATCTGGTCATTCCCCCCCTTCAGCGGACCCTTCGGGTTATCCATGGGAAGTCAGATCCCCATGCTAGGGCTACGTGAAGATCATCGACTTTGGAGCGCGGGGCACGGGGGGGCTGGGGGTGGAGCTGGGGGTGCGGGGCTTCATCAAATGTGTGGAAAAACACTGCTGTGGTGGGAACCCATAAGGTAGATGTCCACCGGACCAAGATTTCCGGGAACTCAACATATTTTTGCAATAGAATCGTCTAGAAACGAGAATCCGGGGGCTGTGAAGGAACACGTCCGCCAAGGGATCAAGATTTCCGGAACATGGGGTGACTCACTCAATTTCGACCATACAAACTAGAGGGACGAGCTCATTTTCCCGTCCCTACGGGGAACCAAAGGAATTATTTTGCCTGTGGTCCATCATATGAGCAGTACTTCTTACCTGTTCCGACTGTGGCAAACATCCCTCCAAATGTGTGATATCCCTTTGGTCAAATAGCCCTCCAAAAAGGGTACCCTCATGTGTTACAACATGACCACCATAGACCCCCAACCTGTTGTCTTTTTGTACCTTCTCGCTTTGTTCATTCCGACCGCGCTCCGCCTCTCAAAGTTTTCCCACTCCCTGAAATCATAGCCTTTATTTTTTTCTTGGAAGACCATCTTGGTAGTAAACCACCCAGGGTTCCACTTTTTGATTACCCGAAAATAGACTTAAACCCAGGGGTGGGTCATGTACTCCAACAAGGGAGCCCCTGGGTTTAATTCTATGCAGGTCGCCAAAAAATAGGACTTGGCTCTTGTTTTGCCGGGGCGATGGACAGTCAGTTCCCGTTTTTGCGGCTCCAGTTGGGACGTCCATCGCCAGCTTCTGAGGTCTCGAAGAAGCTGCCAGAGGGCGAGAGCCGGACCTACACGGTTGTGGGCACACCCCACTACATGGCCCCTGAGGCGGCGGCTTCCAACAACAACCGCTGCCCAAAGGGGGGGTTGGATGAAGTTGGTATGTGATGGGAATTGGGGAAACCGACCATTTTGGAGGACCAATTCCGATTTGGTACCAATTGAGAAGCAATGTTGGCCCAAGAAAATCAACCCGGCAGATTTGATGGGGGGGTTGTTCCCCCAAAAGATCCCGTTTACGATGGGAACTCCCGTACTGCCCAACCAGGACCTTCTCCATCCTGAGTCGACATTGCCCACATGCCTAGAATCTCCTTTTGACCCTTTAAATTTGGTTGGTCAGACACAAGACCAACATACTTTTTCTTCTCAAAAGTGAACCGAGAGCTTATCCCCCAGCTTCCTTAAGCAAATGCAAAGCACGAGGGGGTGAGCGGGTGGGTGGGTGAGTGGGTGAGTAAACTAGCGAATTCGGAGAAGTGAGCAGCACACCAAAACACTGTTGGTTCTACCAAGATGGGTTGATACAGGCTTCGGCATCATATCCATTAAGCCATTGCTTAGGTCAGACTCCCAGGACTCACAAGCGGTTCTTTGATTTCAAGCGCTGCCGAACCGAGTTGTTCAGAGGCACCCTTTTTCCGCTTTTGGTGTACATCTAGCTTTGCATGCTTGAAGTCCTTCTTCTGAGGGTCCTTTAGGGTTTGCCTTATTTTATAGGTTGCTCGTTGACTTAGAGGGAACGGAGTGTACTCTTTTAGAACAAAAGCAGTTGACAAACTGGTAAAAGAGAACTGGCAAGTGTTACATTGATTGAACTCAAGCAAAGGAAAGCCAGAGTGCGGCTGTATGGGTTTCTTTTGCCTTGCGCCTAGCCAGTTACAACATTTGCAGGCAGTTCCAAGCACCCTGGAATCTAGTCTCGGCGAACTTCCTGTAGGCTTGCCTGAAACTGGTCTTTCTAAGTTGATGTCATGTTTTAGCAGCTACCTTTTGCACATGAGCAACGGACAGTATTGTTGGTGGCCTGTGGTTAGTTTGGGGAAACCACCATTGCCAGGTCCCAAAGATATTGGCCCAAGATTTTCCTTTTTGGTGTCTACAAAGTCATCCCCGCCTTGTGTAAGAGTTCCAATGCTGAAAAGATGCATTGGACAGTCCGAGGAGTACTTCCTCAGCCGGTTCTGCAAATGTGCTCGGAAACGAACCCACCCAACAGCCAGGAAGCTGGAAGGCTTTGTTTGTCTTCCTATTGTCGTTTGCATCATTCCCCAGCTGCAAGCTTTGGGGTCTCTGGGCAAATTTTGCGGAGCCCGGAACCTGCCTTGACCTCCTCTTGCGTTTCAGGTTCTCACATATCCGAATAATCTTTTGCCCCAACACAGAGGTGTGAGACCTCGAGATTTCTGTCTTGGGGGTGGTTCCCTACTTCAGGTTGGCGAATTGTTCATAGTTCTGATTCGCCCCGGCTAGAATCTCCAAACCTGCAATTTCGTTGGCACGGGCTGAGATCCGCTCGCTCGCAGCCCGCTCACGCCTCGTCAGAAAAACGCCAGGTCTTTCAGGGCAAGGGCTACGGAGTGGAGGTGGACTTGTGGTCTCTGGGGGTGATGCTCTTTGAGTTCGCCCGAAAGCCCGGAGACCTCCACACATTGGATCTCGGTGTTCCTTTCGAAAAGGGTACCTTCCCAAAGCACCCAGCCACAAGTTACACTGAAGTGTATTGGTTTGCTTTTCAATCCGGTCCTTCTTTGGGGAATGGGAAGACACCACGCCGCCTCACCCACGATCCAAACCAAAAGCTGGGAAGCTCACCAGACGAGAAGTCGTCTCAGAAGTCGACGGAGTTGAGCCCGTCATTTTCATTCGGAAACTGGGCAGAAGGGCCATGACAGCAAAGGGTTGTCACTCCCAAGTAACCGCCCGGTGTGGACGATTGCGCATCAGTGTAGGGGTCCTTTTTGTAGAGCTTTTCTCAGCTTCCAAGTGTTTGAGCTGTTTTGAACCTCCCACTGCTCGAGTTTCCAAGGCGCTAGTTTGAAGTGATATTTCTTTTCGTGGTCCGATGTTTATGGCTTGGAGCCACAACATGGGTAATATACATATATATATATATATTTATAATAAATTATATTATATATAGAATATACATACATATATATATATTATATATATATATATCTATAACCTCCTCCCAGACCGGGCTTCGTTTGCCCTGTGGGTTCCCTTCAAAACGACCCAAGAAAGGACCCCTGAATCACAACACCATGAGCCGTCGGCCCTAGGTCTGCGGGTACCTGCCCTTCGGCACCAACGTCTCCGAGCCGCGCGGAGCCACTGCGATTGCTTCCTCCTCGAGAAGTTCGGGTGGTTCCTGTGGAAAGGGGGAAAGACCTAACTTGCAAGGGCCCAGGGACAACTTCGGGGGATTCGGGGCAAACTCACTAGTAGCATTTAGGAGTTTCTCAATGCCGGACCCTTTCGGTTTGGTTCTAAAGTTTCTAAGGCACCACAAGGGACCCCCACCATTTTGAGGGCCCCCCCACAATTTTTACAAGGCATCACTGAATTTGGGTTTCAAGTTCCATCCCACAGAGATATTTGGGCCCAGGCGGTGCATTCTCCACTTCCATGATTTCAGGTAACCGGTATTTTGTGGTTTGGATTGGTGGTTTCCCACCAAGCAGAGGCAAGTTGATGATTGGAAGGGTATTTGGGCCGATCTTTTCTCGAATCCGCGGCCTCTTTGAAAAACCCTGCCTTTCGCCCGCAGTGGGGAGCTTCTTTCGCAAGATCCCTTTGAGATGGTTTTGAAAGGACACCAGCAGGAAACCGACTACCTGGAGGGGGCTAGACCCTGAGGGCTACGTGACAAGAGTCCTTGACGACCTGTCACAATCTGGCAGACTTCAGGTTGCACAGCGGGTTTGTGCAATTGGCAAATCACTCGCCTTTGTGTATCCTGTGCTTATTTCTCTGCACTCTGTCAGATATATCACGGGATGATCAGGGTCGGATTTTCTCCCAACATTGGCTCCTGCGGCTAACCACGCGTTGGTTCACAAGGGAAGCCAAACGCAAGCGAAAGGAAGCCACTCCTTGTTGAGAGGGACGCCCACCTTGCCTTTTCATTTCCTTTGTTGTCGCGCGTTTCTGCGCCGCCAGCCCGTTCGGCGCGGCTCGCTCCGCTCCTCTGCCATGGACTCCGTGCGCTGGCTGCTGGCACACTTGCGTGATGCGGGGCGGCCCATGGTGCCCTTAAGCACTGCGCAGGTCTGGCTGTGGAGAACGTGTTTTGAGGCGTCCAGTTCCGGTGATTTTTTCTGGGAAATCCACTGTGAAGTGATCGAGTAGTTAGTCATGAAGATGATGCGGATGGGCAATTCTGCTTTGGCAGAAAGGTTTGTTCTCTGCAAATTCTGTAGGTGGGGGGCCAGCTTCAGAGTTTGCGCACCTACGTCGCCGGCCTTCCGGTGCAGCCGCCGGACGACGGTTGCCGACGGCGCGCCTCAGAGCGACCAGGGGCTTCTGCCCCCTCCCCCACCCCCCGTGAACCGGCTGGATTTTCCTTTCAGGTTTCCTGGATTTTTTTCCCTTCAAAGTCAGCCTTCGAAACCAGGATGTTTTTTGATATGCGCAGCGTGGAAGTCACTTAAAAGTTCGACCAAGTCAGCCTTCGAAACCAGGATGTCTTTTGATATGGGCAGCGTGGAAGTCACTTAAGAGTTCGACCACCCCAAATTGGGCTTTCCATAGGTCGCCCCCTTGGCTTAACCACTTGCGGGTTGGCAATCTTGGAAGTGGCTGTGAGATCTCGACAGGGAATCCCGCAACATTGGCTGGTATTTGCGCAACATTTGCATGTCCTTCAAAGGGTGATACCCAAGGAGTGAAGGTGGTGGGGGATCCCATGATCATCGATGCCGACGGCACGACGCATCACTACTGGGGCCCGGCAGTGCTGGTGAACTTCAACGGAGCCGGGGTGGTCACTGCCCTGGAGTTTGTGGACACACATCGTGACAGGAACTTTTCTGTGTGTGTGTGTCGTTTAAAGGAGAACCCCATTTCTGAGCAGTTCAACGGAGAGCACAAGTCTGTATCTTCCATTTTGACGACTGGGGAGTTGCCCAGGGACTGCACTCCTTTTCAGCTCAGCTTGGCACAGCCCAGATGTCCTTTGGAGACCACAAGTTGAGAATTGAGGTGGGGTCTTTTTTTGTTGTATGGATGATTTCGGAGGGACGAGAGTCAAAAAGGCGGCCCTACCCTGGCAGGAACTACATCTCTGAAGTTTGGAGGTACGAGCTCCACAGCCGTCGCTACAAGTACAGGTTCCTTGAGGCGGATCAACCCCGCTGTTTCCCCCAGACTCTGGTTTTCAGCGGTCTCCCCAATTCCAATAGAGTCTAAGAATGAGCAACAGGGTCCAAACAAGCCTTGAGTTGCCACTGGGGTTAGTGGCTTCCCAGTGGGTTTCCAGGCCTGCTTGCTTCCGGGCAGCTCGATGCGCTTTTTAAGCTGACACAGCTTGGAACACGAAGGTTTCCCTTGGCTTCCGGCTCCTTGGGTTCGGAGTTGGAAGTTCCCCCGGGGGTGCAATCCACCAGAAGTCTGAAGTCTGCCTGCGCAACTCCTAGGTTGGGGCCCAAAGGCTCAAGAACCGTGGCAACTCTCCCGTTTTAGGATCCCCTTTTCTCGATGCGCAGGCGAATCACGCGCAAAAGGCTTACGCATTCAAGGCGTACGGCTCGTGTGGGCTTCTCCACGGGTAGGTCTTTCTCCAAAAAGAAGCTTCACTTTAGCTTCTCCAATTGTACCTAAGAAAGACACACTTCGGTTGCCAGGAGGAGGGTGTGGAGCGGGTTTGCACTCGCGGCCGCGGAGCTTTAGAGGGCCCCGAGTACGTGGCGGGCGACGGCTCCTGGAGCTCGGAGCGGGGGGATGGCGAGGTGCCCACGGAGTGGCGCCTGGGTCTGCCTGATTTATGGCGAGCTCACCCCTTCGGGGGGGCAAAACGAGCGAAAGCCATGGTAAAGATCGTTTTTTTGTTTGTTTCAGGTGTTGGAAGCATGGCAAAAAAAATGCAGGGTGGGTCTTGCATTGAGGGTTCCCTTTTGGGCGGTTTTTTAGGGACAAGGGGAAATGATCGCTGCGCCTGAAACGCGATTTGTTTCCGGTCCTTCGTTCGTGGCTCCACAATGATCAACCCCGCGTGCGTGCACTTTCAACGTGTGACTCGGAACTTGTCACGCCTTGTCTCCCCCACTTGCTTGCCCACTTGTGCCCCCCGCCTGTCTCCAGTTGTCTCCTGTGCTTGCTCCTTGGCACGGCCTTTCTCCCCGTCTCTACGCTTGTCTGCCTGCTCACGCTTGGAATCTCGGACCTTCTCATGGGTTGTCCTATAAACCTGCTTCTCCCCGTTTTGGTGACTTTGATTCGGCCTCGACACCATGATGTGGGGTCTAAAATAGATGACATCATAAATCACGTCCGTGTGTTCAGTAATTATTGATATGCTTTCCATGTGCAAACTATCAGCTCTTGTTGTTGAAACTTACTACGATATTCTTCGGTCCTCATTGACCTCGAACTTAAGATGTGATGTACCTTTGAGGAGCATGGTTTCTTTGGGGTTTGGTGGCAAGATCTTTGATATTGGTTGTCCAAGTTCCTGCGAATGGGCAGGACACGAGCGATTCTGGGCCTCGATGAGAATGGGCTTCCGATCAAACTCGGGCAGCCCTTATTCGTGCTTGGCGAATGAGGGGTTTCTGCCCTCTTTCAGGGGGTACCTTCACTTCACTGCTCTCTGTGTTTTTGTTTTGTTTGTGGTTCTGATCATGGCTCGTCAAAATTCGTGGCCTTTTTAAGTAGGCGACACCAGGGTCCATTTTCACAAGCCCCTCATGTTTGCTGGCGGCGCACTTCGGCTTTTCGCGAACATGCCGAGGGCGAAGTGCGCTCCCTGAAATACGCTTGGAACCCCGAAGCATGCTCCATTTCCCGAAAGGAGATTCCTCCACGAGGGTTTAAGAACATGATGAGAACCAGGCACAAATGAGCGGAATCCATCTATGATCAACCAAGCCGACCCCTTTCAAAGGACCACGCGCAGCCGACGAATTTCAGTGGAATCCATCGCATAGGTGTGTTTTTTAAGGTTAGTGTGGTTCGAAATTGATGGGTTCCACTGGTTTAGATTGGTTTCAGTCCATTTACCAGTAAAACCCAACTATTTCACCAACAGGACGTTTGTGTTTCCAAGGACATTTGTGAGAGGTTTCCTCCAAAAATGGCCCCAGCGACCCCAGGTTCTTGCAGAAGTTCAAGGCTTCGGCCCGCACCTTCTTCATCAACTGCTCTACGGGCACCTTCGTGGAAGGTGCCGCGATGGGCGCCAAGCAAGCTTCCCAGGAGAAACCTGCAATCTGGGTGTGTCTTAAGATAGGGGAATCAGTAGAATGGTTTTTCCTTTCTGAAATTCCCATGAAATTTCAAGACCTCCAAACGGGTACCAGAGATGGGCCCCTCCTGTCAGGGCCGCAAGTTTTTGCCTGGTCCCTTGGCCCTCGACCCGTACAGCGTAACCCTCTTTCCTCCAAAAGCTCAAGTCCGAAAGTTCGGCTCTGTTCGGGGAACAGGCGAAAGGGGGGTCCCTTTGTGATACGTGTCGGGAAACGCCTACCCACTCCTTTGAGCGAGCAAATCGTGATTGGGAAAATCATAGATATGGCAGATATGGTTGCAATTCCCACAATGTGATGCTGCCAGACCGATGTCAAGCCAGGTTGTCCTGTTTCAAAACCGCCAGTCTACAAGAATTTGCTTGGACATGTTTCTGCTTGTGTCAACTGCAAGAAGGTTTCGAATGGACCTTTAATCTGCAGGTCCTTGGGGCACGCGGGCAATTCCCTCGGGGCGGGTTTTGGCGCTGAGTCAGCCTGTTGCCCTGGAGACCCTTGGCAAGGACGGCCTGCCTAAAAGTGCCGGTCCTAAAAGGTGGGTGGCGGTTTGGGCCTTTTGACTAGTTGGTTTGCACCCCCCCCCTCCCCCGATTGTTGGAAGCGAACTGAGAACCACCTGCTCGAGGGCTTCTCTCAATCAGCTGGTGGGTAAACCTGGCCCAAATTTGTCTCAAGCCCTGTGCTAGGCCCTCCCTTTTGTGCCATCAAGAGCTTCTGGGACAAGCCCACGGAGCTATGTGCCCAGATCTTCGCGAGCATGGAGGTGGGAAACCAGCTACTTTGCAAAGGTGAGTAGCATTGAACCAAACGAAGAAATGCAGATACGCGCAAAAATCACACATTAATGAATAAGTAGATAAATCAATAAATAAGTCAATAAATGAATAGACTCTGACATAAATAAGAAACATATAAATAAGCAAATACGTAAAGCAATAATCAATAAGCAATTATATACACATATGCAAACCCAAACACATAAAGAGCAGGGAATGAGTCCAGTCATGAATGAAGTTGGTGAGTGGGATCCCTCAAACTGAATTGGTTCGTTGTTGTTTTCCGGCAGAATCCCAAAACGGGACATCCGAGGCACCGCACCAGGACAAAAATGGCAAAGGCCAAACAACGCAGGTGGAGCCGGCGGAATGGATGCGGAAGTCGCTGGACATCATTTCCTCCATGTCCGGCTGGCACCACAAAGAGGAGCTGCCTGGCAGAGTGGGGCGAATTTGTTGGACCGTCTCAGTTCGCAGGAATTTGGGTTGGTGTAAAGGTAAAGGCCAAGCTTGAACAAACCCGGCTTTTTGCTTTGGGCCTTCTGGACTGAGGAAAAAAGGAAGGGCAAACAGCAGGGACGCACAAGATGTCCTGGATGTGCTGACAGTGCACTTTGCATGTGGCTTGGCTGCTGCAGTCTCGATGCCGAACGATCGCCATGGTGCTGCTATCCAAGTCTGAGAGCATCCTCGAAGACCGATCCGTGCCTTTCGTTCAGGTGGCGTGGGCCCGTGGCTTTGCGAGTTTCGGTCAACATTCGCTGTAGTCACTGTAGTCCAGGGTTACGGTTAGTGTGGGGTTTGGGACATATAGGGGACTCACGAGGGGGGGGGGACTAAGTTATGGATATCCCACGAGAACAACATGCTTTTGCCACATACGTTCCTCCTTTGCTTTCTCAAACACTGGAAGCTGGGTCGAGGATCAGCAGGCCCCTGAGAGCGGCTTTTTTGGGAGGCCCGAGTGAGGCCCTTGAACACTTTTCTGGACCATCTGTTGTGCAACCTGTCAGCCGAAACCAGTTGATCCCCGATGAAGGTTTCTCAGTCACAAGTAAAAGGGTTTGGAGAGGAGTCAAAGACCAAGGGAGGTCCTCGATTCAGGTCCTGGGCTTCACATGTTGGAAACCCTGCCCTCTGATTTGGCCTTCTGGGGGATTAATCAGGGGCCGAACGCAAATAGGACCATAGGAACTGGGGAGCTATTTGTCAAGGGCCAATATTTGTGAGTGAATGCTCTCAAGTGGGGTGATAGGACAAATGCCACTTGGACACATGCGCAACTCATTGAGTTCACTTACCATCCACCATTTAGGGCATTTGTCAGAGGTCAAGTTTAGTTTTGTATACGAGTCAGAGGCTTTGTAGCCCATGGCCCATGCCTTTCCTAAACGAAGGGCTGGTACTTTTAGAACAGACACCGCCGTCGGAAGCCCAGATTTTGGCGGGGGCGTACTTTTAAAGCGGCTGCGCGCGTGTTAGACACGCGCGCGCAGCCAGCTGTTTACATGGGCGTGCCTCAGCTGTGGAGTCTTTTTCCTAAACTCTGCCAGCCATGCGCCGGGTGGGGGGAGCTCCCCCATTTGAGGATCAAACCCTGCAAGCGACTGGCTCTGTTCTTGGCTTTCACCTGTTTCTCATGGGGAGGACATGGCATCCCCAAGCTTTGAAAAGCCAAGGGCAAATCCAGTATCCCAGTCCTTCACAAGAACACTTTGTCCATGGCATATTTCTCCACTGATAGCGAGCTCGCCTAGGGGTAAAACACGCTCACCCGCGATGAATGTCCCTGTCTTCAAGATTCCATAGTCAGGTTGGAATTTGTAGCAACCAATGCAGATGGTTTGAAGTCCAGAACTTTTAGGGGCTTTCTCTCTCTCTCTCTCTCTCTCTCTCTCTCTCTCTCTCTCTCTCTCTTCGTCTCCAGGGAGCCCACTCGGGCGGCCAAACACCCAGGCATGTCACCAGGATGGAGGTGTAGAAGTAGAAATGGACGCCTTTTTTGGATGTCGTGTTCGTTTGAAGGGAAAGAAGAAACACCGGAAGCCACGTACCAAGCGCAAGGCCCCCAACCTTGAAGCGAAGAAAAGCAGGGGGGAGCTACAGGAAGGAAGCCAACGATCCAAAAGTCTCCAACCAGTTGCACGGCTTCAGTTTTAACCTTGTGACACACCCAACTTGCCCCCGGCCGGCGTCTCCTGAGAGAAAAGAGAGCGGACTGCGCGCCACTGAAGCCTCGAGGTACTGGGGTCAGAGCTGCAGCTGGGTTGCCCTTGCAAGCTATCTCGTTGTAAACATGCATTTGTTTTTTTTGGGAGTTGGTGCCCTTACGTAGGGTTGTCGTATTGCTGAAAACCAAACGAACACCAAAGCATTCTTTTGGGCAACCATATCAAATTTTGACCACAGCAGTTTTCTGTATCTAACCATTTCAGTTTTGAGGCATGGAGCACACACTTGACTCAATGCTTGATTGTGAGTTAAAGGATGTACATTTTTTTCTGCGTTTGCGTAAGAGCAAACCGAAGCCCTTTTTGGCAGGGTTGAGGTGCAGAGCCTAAGAGCACCGTTCTGACAAGCCAAGTAACTTGCAGAAGCAGCCTGATTTGTTTGCCCTTTGATCATGCTCAGAGCACCCCCGTGTCATGTTGCAGTCATTAGGTTTGATGCAGTGCCCCAGCAGAATTCATGCAGGAAAAGAAGCCCCTAAATGTCCCTGTTGAGCTAGTTTAAGCATCACTTTTCGGACCCTGGACCGGCCGTAGCTGAGAAAGCATGCCACCAGATTGCCTCAACATTCTGACTGAACTTTTCAACTACTCTTTCAAAACAAACACACCCAAATTCTCGAGGAGTCTTGATATTTCCCAAAAGAAGCGGTGAGAATGGAGTCTGGACGGATTTCTAGAACATTTCCCTCGGTTTCCCTGCGAACACACGGTGAAACAGGTACAGCTTTCTTTTTGTGCGGAATTCCAGGGTCGGGTACATCACTGGAACGACCAGACCCTGGCCCACTTTGGGGAGCCAAATTCGTCGTTGGTCGTCTCCTCTCGGGTTCGTAAGGAGGCCTGATGCTATCCTCCCTGGACTTCCCCACTCTCATAAGGGATGGTTCAGTTCGGGGTCGTTCCCTCATCTCCCTGGCTCAGAACCAGCCAAGCTTCGAAGAGGTTCTGAACATGAGCTTCCTGGTTTTCTGCCAGCTTTTGGTCAAGGCGCCCTGTCCTTAACATTTTTGGCATTTCCCGAGGCGCCAAGTCTGCTCGGCGGTGCTGCGGGGCAAGCTGAAGTTCCCCTCGGCCTTCAAGGAGGGGGAAAGAGCCTTGCGTGGCTTTTAACTTCTTTTGCGGCAAAGGGGGGGTGGTTTTGTTTGGTTTTGCTTGGTATTTTGTTTGGTTTTGTTTGGTTTTGTTTGGTTTTGTTTGGTTTTGTTTGGTTTTGGTTGGTTGATTGATAGGTTGGTTGGATTGATTGGCTGTTTGGTTGGTTGGCTGGCTGGCTGGTTGGCGGGCTTGAACCTTGGAACATGGTACAAGGTCGTAACAGATCCGAGCAAACTCTTAGCGCCTGATGCATCGAGAGGACAATGTGAACCCGAAGAACCCCCGGAAGGATCCAGTTCCAACCGCCAAAGCAGGAACCCGCCCTGTGAAGTCCAACCTCTCCAGAAACCAAGACACAACTCGCGAGTTGTCGACCATTGTGCTTTCGGTCGCCACTGTCCGTGCCACTCTTGCGGAATTCTCCTTTTCAAGTTCTAAAGTACCCAAGGGAACAGACATCCACCAGTTTGGTCTGACAGAATCCGTGCCATGTTCCACTCAAAGAAATTTCATGAATGCTGAAGGTGGATTCCAGGAGTCGGAGGGGACATGGCACTGAAGGTTGGCGAGACGGAGCGTTGCATTTGGCTGAGTGGATGTTCCCTGTTGCTTTCTTGATTCCTGTTTCTTGTTCGTGGCGTTGCACGACCAAGAAAGGCACGATGCTTTAATGACATCCCGATGTTTACACAAAGCCTCTCATGAGCTTTCGGCAAAGGTGGCTATCCGCTTCAAGGCGTTGGATTTCCACTGATGCAGCATCCATGAGGGAACAAGGCTGCTCAACCACTCGTCTCAGGATTTCCTCCATTTCGCTTTTTGGAACCTCCAGAAGTAGCAGTGTCCATGGACACCACCGGTTCAGGGTTACCCAAAGGCGATCGTCGACATTAGGCCCCCGCCCCTCCCTCCCTTCCCGGAACCCCTCCTAAGAAGATTCTACCAACCTTCTCCCGGGATGGAATTGGGGGAGGCGCCCTTCTGCCTGGGTGCGAGACTGCAGTCCTTGCAGCAGGGTAGCCACCGTTTCTTGGGCAGCTCCGAAACAATGGTGCCTCTGTTGTACAGGACGATGTCGCCAAGGACCTCATCAAGGGCCTGCTGACAATTCCAGCCGGGAGCCTTTGCAAGAGGAATTTGGGAGTAGGGTTGGCGGTTGTCTTTCTTTCTTTCTTTCTTTCTTTCTTTTTTTTCTCTTTCTTTCTTTCTTGCTTGCTTGCTTGCTTTGCTTTGCTTTGCTTTGCTTTGCTTTGCTTTGCTTTGCTTTGCTTTGCTTTGCTTTGCTTTGCTTGCTTGCTTGCTTGCTCTTTGTTTGTCTTTGTTGTTGTCGTCCTTGTTGTCAATGTTGGCCGTTGCCCCGGAACTCAGCTTAGCTGAACCTTTGCTTGACTTTGGACAGAGACATAGTAATTTTCTGACCGGCGAGACTTAGGCCCTTGACGGGCCCCACATTGGCAGCATGCCGAAGATGCACCGTATTTCCCACGTGCGCTGCTGGTTTCCGTGGCTTTGGGCTCCAGGATTGGTACCCGAAGCGGCCACATCACGCGGCGTGTTTCCGGCACTTTCCAGAAAGTCTTCAGCTTTCAAACCGAGCCATGCGCGAGGCGATCTGCATTCACATTGGCCAGGAGCTTTGGAGAGTTGAGCAGACCTTTGCTATGATTTGGTTCTTGCCCCAGTGGTTTGGGGTTGATTGCGGTGTGGACGTACGGTGCCTACAAACAAATTCGTGGAGGGCGGGCCAGGGCAGGCGGGCTCAGAGGTCATAAACTGTACTTGTCTAATCCGCAAAGAGCTGGGGGCCAGATAGTTGGGTGTCGGAGGTAGAATTCCTGTTTGCTGCTTACGCATACGGCCTTCCGCTTAGCGTTCGCCAAGAAGCCCTGAAACTTGGATCCCCGGGGTGGCGCAGGCAAGAGGTGGGCCTCGCGGAGGTAGTGTAAACTGGTATTTAAGTGTTGGCGCCGTGCATCCTAGATGCTGATAGTTTGGTGGTTTGACGCTGACCGCAAATGAATGCTCTGGCGGTTCGGTAGTAGCCCGAAAGGCCTTGGGTTGGCAAGTAAGTTCTCAAATTTGCAACCACGCCCCAGGGTGGCGTGCAAATTGGCAACGCCTGCTGGGAGCTGTTCTGCTTGGAGCATGGTATCCAACCTGATGGTCAGATGCCGTCCGACAAGACGATCGGCGGGGGGGATGACGCATCCAGCCTGATATGAGCGGTGTTTGTTTTCGGTGTTCGCTGGCAAACACCCACTATGTGTGGATGTTTGTTTGGTTTTAATGTCAAGCTGTTGCGTACAATGAAGCATTGCGCCAGAACCTGGGTTTACAAAGCCAGGGATTCTCCAGCTTTGGATTTCAAGTTGCATGTCCAGACTAAGTTGGTGTTTGTCTTCCACGGTCCCTCGAATTATTGGATTCTTATGGTGCTTGGATGGCCCAAACATGACCAGCACGAGGGTTGCCCAAAATTGGGGTTGATCGCTCAACTTGAGAGAACTCGATGGTTTGTACCCGGGGTCCGTTTGGGACATACGCTTGCATGAACATAGTATCACTTGAACGCAATGGTCTTGGCCTGGACGGGGCTTTAAATTGCGCGCACCTGCCTCATGGGACATTTGCCCTAACATGACTCATCTTTTGTTGACATCGAGGACGAACCCCCCAAATCTTTCATGCTTGTCATGAGCGAGATGGTTTGCTCCTGCCCCTGATTTTTATGCGCTGCGCAACGCGCTGCTTGGGCTTCAGCGCGAATATTCCACCGCCAATCCAACGGGTGATCTTGAAATACCACTACTCTTAATGTTATTTTACTTATTCTGTGAGACTGAAGCTCGCATCGTGTGAGTTTTTGATTTAAGGTTGCCTTGTTTGGCAACTGATTTGTGCGGAAGACACAGTCAGGTGGGGAGTTAGGCTGGGGCGGCACAGCTGTTAATGCAGCTGTATGGGTACACAGTCATGGCGTGAACAGCAGAATCATGAGCGCACAATCCGCAAAGCGAAGAGCCTCCAGGTTATTCCCCGAGTTACGGTAGACCCGCTTGACGCCTTGCCCAGAATGCTCCGGAGGGCTAAGTGCCCTGCATGGTTTTCGGGGCCTCAGCCACTGAAGACAACTAGAACAAAGTTTCGAGTTCGTGCAAGGCCTACACAAGGCGAAGACTTAGATGAGAACACGATGGGGGCAATCAAGCAGCAGCTGCAAAAAGTTCAGATGAACCGTCACACCGGCACAAATCGAGTCAGCATGGGCAGAGTGCAGGCACTTTGCTTGCGGCTTACTTGCTTCAAAGCTCTGGTGTGCATAAAGTGCCCAAGGCCGTGTGTATTTATAGGAAGTACGGTATGTCAGCTGGATTTGCCCCAACTGCATTTCTTCAAACCAGACGATCAAGTCCTACTTGTCTCTGGCTTCTTAGAAAACCATGGGCCCTGACAGCGTTTGCCTGTGTGGGCTTGGACAGCGCTTTGCGACGACTTGTTTCGAATTGGGCAGGGCGTTGTCCAGATGTCTTGAAAGCTTCTTTAAACCCTTGTGGTTTGAGCGTTTAGGACTTGAAGTGTGGCGGGAAAGGACGGCTGCCTTGAGCAGGTTTATTTCGGTAGAAAAGAAAACTGGAAAACAGCTGCGTGGGCGCTCGAGGCCATGCTCAAACTGCTCCAAGACAATTGGTTGGTTTTTGCTGGTTGACGCACGCATGACAAAAGCAATTGATGAAAACCCGGGCTCGAGCTGTTTGTGGCGAGTCTGTGCTGCGTGCAATCACCTTTGCAGGTCTGCGCTTTGATTGGCCACAGGGGTTCGCATTGCTTTGCAAGAAAGAACCTGACAGAGCAACTCGTGCCTAGGTATTGGTTTGCGGTTTGGCAACAATATCTAAGCTGCGCGGTTTGCGCCACGTCGCCTGCCCGCGCTTCCCGGCATTCAGGCCCAAGCCAAGCTTTGAACCAAATGCTGCGTGGAGGAGCCAAAGGTGGGGCAAAGGCCACAGAGCGAAAGCGAGGGGAGCGTCATGAGTCCTTGCTGTTGGATGGACTGGAGAAGTTGTTGCAAACCTTCGTCAGTGAACAAGGAGAAAGCTCTCCGGCAAGGCATCCGCCAGAGAAACGGGCCAGAGCGCAGGAGACCAGAGCAAGACCGTGCCCGCCAAAGCCAGACAAGCGGCGGCGCCTCTCAAGTCAAGCGCCCGGTCAACGCCTTTGTGGGCAGATGTGGTTAATTAAGGGGGGGGCCAAACAGCGGAGATCGCCCCATGCCAACAAGTCCGGAAAAAGGCAGCAAGCCCAACTGTGCAGCAGTAAAATGTGCAAGCATGGATGCTGTACTTGACCTGCAACAACTTGCCAAGAAACACGGCATCGCTGACACGGCGGCAGCACGAGTGTGAACACCCGGTGCCAACCAAGAGACCAAGTATGAGGATGGGAAGATGGCCTTCCTACCATCCTGCAGGGTCTGGGCTACGCAAGTGCTGGGTGTTTGCAGCTTCAGCAAGCAGAGCTGCGGCTGCGGGTGCTAGCGCTTGGAATGCCGTGTCATCAAAGTACGGCGCGCAGGAAAACTTGAGCAAGCTAAAAATTTCCACAGCCAACGCCTTCAAGATGAGGGCACAAGCTTTGGCCGACCTTCCTGAGGGGTGTGGTGCGCCACGACTCGTGCTTGGGATTGATTTTAGCGGAACCGCCACGGCAAAAGCTGAAGTTGCCGAAAGCCGGTGATGCGAAAGTGAGCGCCGGCTGCGCACCCTGCATGCTCGCGCAAGACTCCTGAGGGTAGCGTCCGCTGCCATTGCCAGTGCAAGCGCGCGGGGGTGGCTTCACAAGCTTCCCAACACGCTTCGCTCGCCAGGTGCACATAGCGCGGCGCAGAGACAAACAGAGCACTTGCTCAAAAGACTTGAGGTGTATCTTTACCGCAGGATGGCAGTCTTGGAGCATTCTCCGGGCCGCCCCTGCCCAGCTTGCTCCAGCAAGCGATGAACACTGGAGCTCAACTCCAACGCAAAGAGAGCGAGCTGCAGATCTGCAGGCGCTTGCTCACAACATGGCAACAGGAGTCCCAGGCCAGGCCGGGCTCTCCAGTGCAATGCCAGCAGATCAAAGCCAAGGTCTTGCCAGAATGTTCTGCCGCTGTGCCACACATGTATGCCTTTGTCCTGAAGTTCGGAGGCGGTGCTGAAGGGCGTGAGCTTCGGGAGACTGAGGAGTTCGTTAAGCAGTTAAGCAGGCCGGCGTCGTCCAGCGGTCCTTGGGGGCAGATGCTTGGGACAGCTTGTGCTTGCCCGGGAAAACAGTTGCTGCGGTTGCGCCATGCCGCCCTGCGGCTGTCCTACCACGTGGTAGATAGTGCTTCGTTGTCTTGGATTCCTGCTTGAATCCAGCTTGCCAGAGTGTGCGCGTGGTTGGGCTCCCTTCAATGGCATGCAAACCCCCCCGCGGGCATGGCGCCACCACAGACTTGGGATTATCACGTGGCGCGGCATTGCCAGCGATCGTGCCACGCAGGATCACTTGCTTCGCGAGTCTTGTGTTTCGGCAAGTTTGTGAGCTCGACGCGTTGGGGCGCGGCAATGGTTCGCCTTGCTGGAGTTGCCTGGTCTGAGCAAAGTTGCAAATCGAAAAGGCCGAGCAACACGTTCTACACGCAGCAGCAGGGCTTGCTGGAGGGGCAGTGAGTGATGCAGTTTTGCAGGTCATGACTGGGAACCCTGTCAGCCATTCTTGTGTGTGCTGCCAAAGGAGTGTCCCACCCACTTGGGATCATGTGAGCTGGAACTGAGTTGTCCGGCCTTCAGTTCTTCTTGACCCGGGATCTTGAGGGACCCACGTAAGCCTTATGATGCCAGGCATAGGCCAGCGGCTGAGGGTAGCTGGTGCAAACCAGCGGGCGCTGGCTCGAGCAGTCGGGTGTGTGTCGGCATCCATGATGAAGGAAGCTTGGGTGCCTTTCCCAGTGGCACGGCCACTTTTGGAGACTGACAGTTCGAACGTATAACGTATGAGAAGAGCTGTTGCGTGGCCTTTCCCAATGGCACGGCCGCTCTTGGAGAGAAACTTATCGAACGTATCGAGGAGAGCTGAGGGTGCCTTTCCGAAGGGCACGGCCGCTTTCGGAGACAGACTTTTCGATCGTCTGAGAAGAGCTGTTGTATCCTTCTTCCGAAGCAAGAACTGTCGCATATCACGCCCACAAATGACCAAACGGCCTGCAAAACGATGGCGGGTGTCAACGAAGGCTTAAGAACTATTCCAGTTTCGCGCGTAGGGGTTTTGGCGGCAGCTCATATTGCAATGCGAACTTTAGAAAAACAAAACAACTATGATCCATGTGTTGCCGTCCATTTTACTCACGCAGTTGCCGCCTTGCGGCGCTGTGTCGTGATATCTCGGCGGTGCGCGGCGCGTCCAATAATGTACCCCCCGCTTCAGGCATTCAACACGTTCTTCAGCGAGACTGGAGCGGGCAAGCACGTGCCTCGTTGTGTGATGGTCGACTTGGAGCCGACTGTCGTGGACGAAGTGCGTACCGGCACCTACCGTCAGCTCTTCCACCCGGAGCAGCTCATCTCTGGCAAGGAAGATGCCGCGAATAATTTCGCACCAAAGCTAAATTTAGGTTTCGCTTTTGTTTTCCACCTTGGGGTGACACGTCACGGGCCCAAGCAATATTTTTTTGAAAGAACAAACGCTTGGTCACGTTGAGGCACGCGGGCACTACACCATCGGCAAGGAGATTGTGGACCTGGTGTTGGATCGATGCTAGCCTGCATTGGCAAGGCTTGCAATTTGACAGCTGGTGTTGTTGCGTGTGTGTTTTCAAAACTTGCCAACGTGCGTCACTCAGGAATCCGCAAGTTGGCCGACAACTGCACCGGATTACAGGGTTTCTGCGTGTACAATGCCGTCGGTGGCGGCACAGGATCCGGTCTGGGCTGCTTGATGTTGGAGCGCTTGTCCGTGGACTATGGCAAAAAGAGCAAGATCTCCTTCACAGTTTGGTCTTGTCCACAGGTGGCGACTGCAGTGGTGGAACCATACAACACTGTACTATGTGTCCATTCTCTGCTCGAGCACACGGATGTGACAATCATGTACGTCCCTGGGCAAAAAATGCTTAGTGAGCACGGGCTCAGGCGGATAAAAACAAAATCAATTTGACGAATTGTCATGTTTTTGGGTGGCTTTTGCTTGGCTCTGTATGTTTGCAATAGTCTTTTCTACAATGCGAACCCGTGACATGGTCAGCTTCAGACGAGCGCATGATCATTTTGCTCGTTTGTTCAAGTGCTGTATTGCCTTGAACACATTCCCACCCCAGACTCTGGCGCGGGCGTGTTTGAAGAAGTCTGGAGCCAAGGACAATGAGGCGTTGTACGACATTTGTCGCAGGAACTTGGACATTGAGCGCCCGACCTACACGAATCTCAACAGGCTGATCGCACAGATCATCAGCTCATTGACGGCGAGCTTGAGGTTCGACGGGGCTTTGAATGTGGACATCACGGAGTTCCAAACAAATCTTGTTGCTTGGCCAAAGTGTGTCAACATCTTATGGATTTGCCCGAGTTTAGGTGGTTGAACGCTCACCAAGGTTCCTTACCCGCGAATCCACTTCATGCTCACCTCCTTTGCTCCCGTGATCTCTGCAGAGAAAGCATACCATGAGCAGCTCTCCGTGGCGGAGATCACCATGTCCGTGTTCGAGCCTGCTTCGATGATGGTCACTCAGCTGCGGCAACCTTTTCAATCTTCTGGTTTCCTGCTTTGTGGCTCAAGTGTAGTCACAATCCAAAATGTAGGCTTTCTCGGCCCTTTTCTACTTGACAAGCGAGGTCAAGTGCGATCCTCGCCACGGCAAGTACATGGCATGCTGCATGATGTGGCTTAGCCAGTGGGAAATCATTTTGCGCGTGCTTTTCTTTTGTGCCTCCGTTTGGGCATTGGCTGCGGAACGTGGGTGAGCCTGTGAATGAGTGTGGTTTCGTCATGTGTTAGAGCATGGTATTTCCCTATGCGGGGTGGAAGCTGCTTGCTAGATCTCGTAGCACGCTGTAATGCAGATGTCTCACGATCATGTGTCAGGTACCGTGGGGATGTTGTGCCAAAGGACGTAAATGCGGCAGTTGCCACCATCAAGACCAAGCGCACCATCCAGTTTGTGGACTGGTGCCCCACTGGCTTCAAGTGCGGCATCAACTACCAGCCTCCTACGGTGGTGCCGGGTGGTGATTTGGCCAAGGTCATGCGTGCCTGCTGTATGATCTCAAACAGCACGGCCATTGCCGAAGTCTTCTCCCGCATTGACCACAAGTTCGATCTGATGTACAGCAAGATCCTTGTCACGAATTTAGATGACCTCTCTCCTAGCCCAGATGTCTTCTTAAACGCAACAAGTCAAATATGGGGAGGATGTAAAGCTATCGACCCGATATGCGTATTTCAGTAGCGGGAGATAACGACCTTGAATGAGTTGATTTGATACACCCAAAGGCGTGCCTTTGTCCACCACTACGTGGGAGAGGGCATGGAGGAGGGCGAGTTCTCCGAGGCTCGGGAGGACTTGGCGGCCCTGGAGAAGGAAGCCTGGTGCGGTGGCACCCACCTTTTCTCTTTGACGTTTTTCCCTTTAAAAGCAAAACCTTCGGTGTCCCTTTGGGTCTACCAAAGGAATTGCTTTGGTATCTGGGCTTTCTTTTGGCTTTTGGAGCGTGTGACTTTGCTGCGTTGTCCAGAAGAAAAGTAAGGACTACGAGGAGGTTGGCATCGAGACGGCCGAAGGGGAAGGAGAAGAAGAAGGCACGGGTGGTTAGCCCAGGTTTGGGTGGTTTGCTGATTTGACCGGCGAAAGCATCATGGTTTGCTGTCCGGTGTTTGTCTCTCTCAGTGTGTGTGTGTGTGTGTTTGCGTGCTTTTGGTGGATTGCTGTTGCATTGCTAGAGGATGTGATGGACAACATGTTTCCACCCTTCCGAGGAGTCTCATGTTGGTGGAATCTGTTATTTGTGCGTGTGCGTGTGTGTTTCTACGCTAGTTCCTTCTTCTAGCCAGCCCAACATGTCAGGCTACGGTGATGAGTTCTAGGCCGATGCTGAGCACTTGGCCAATGTTGGAGTCTTGCCTTGCTTGCCCAGAGCAGCCAGCGCATGACAGGATGAAAGTCTGCTGCGGCTGGTTCTTGTTCTCATGTTGTCATTGCAATATGGTTGCTTCTAACTGTGGCACACCGAAAGCTGACAGATATGCGTGGTGTCCCTTCCGCAACGGCAACCAGTGGCGCAGTGAATTCGTGTTACTTGCCTTCCAGGGATCAGCGAAACTTGACCCTTGGTGGAAGAGTGACATATTTGCGGTGGCTGTGAAAAAGCGGCAGGTGACTGAGCATGCGCAATGTGTTGGCAGCAAGGATTCCCTTGTGCTTCTCAGGCCATGCAGCCTTGAACAAACATGTTTACAAACGAACCACGTTCAGCCATGAGTATATTATCAAGCCTATGGTGCGGATGTTCAATATTCGATGGCCCATTTCACTTAGGCGCTTCTGCAATGAAAGCGAATCGAGCTGCACGGGTCCCGAAGGTGAGCGCCTTTGATTTGCCCTGGTCCTCTTGTGCCAGGTTGGGACTTTTGCAAGAGCGCTTCCAGGGCTCTTGGGTTTCTTTGACCTGTTGAGTTACAACCCCCTTGTGTGGGTTAGAACCTCCCCCCCCACCTTCCCCCCCCCTTTCCCCCCCCTTTCCCCCCTTCTCCCTTCCCCTTTCTCCCTTCCCTCGCCTTTTGGGGTGTGCAATGTGCCCGACCTGGCGTTGCACCCCTCCAAGGTGCTGAAGCGGCTGGGCGCGGGCGTGAATGGCCTGCAGGCGAGTCGTTTTGGCGCGTCGGTCGACCAAAGCCGCGGACGTTTCCAGCTTCGACCGAAACTTGGACGGGGAAGGAGGCAGGACGAACATGGTCTTCAAGTTTGACACACATGTGCAGTGCGTACATGCAATTACTGTATTCAGAAGCATTTATGATCCTTCGATGTATATTTTTTGACGCATGTTTCTACACAACCAATGACAGACAATTAAACCGTATGTATGTGTATGCGTGTATATATATATATATCTATATGGTTGCGGCATGGAACCCCTCCAGGGTACTTTGTCGTTTCCCTCCGGTGGCCAGGACGTCTTCAAGCACCCCTTCTTCGACATCGCGGGCCGGCGGCCTCAGGACAAGAGGCTGCACCAAGCAGTTCGCGAGCTCACCGACTTGCAGGCGAACACAAGCGATGGCACCCATGGAGGTCTATTGAAAGTGCAGGTCTCTTAGGGATTACTTGATTCGTGTTGCAGGATCTTGACCTCGGCATCGATGGTGTGTGAGTGTTACTTCCGCACATTGTCATTCAATGATAGGGACTCTGGAACGTGCCGGGGCTAGGGACCTCAACTTTGCGAATGTCAGCGGCAAGCTACGAAATCGCCACCAAAAGGGGCCATCGCTAATTCTGTACACACAACGGTCAGGGAAAGTGTGGATGAGTGTCCAAAGGGATCACCCATGTACCCCCGGAAGTAGGTGCCCAGGTTCCCTTTGCATACCCAGTACGGAACGCGTCTTGAAAACCGAATTGCTTTTTGAGGTCCAAACATGGCCGCTGCGAAATCTGATTCAAGATGGCAATTTCCAGTGCTGAAAAGCTCTTCAGGCCGGGCTGATCCTTTCAAACAGCGTTGTTATGCAAACCTGAGCACGAAACCTGTTGCTCAATGGAGCAGCAATTCTTAGACTCAGGAGAAGGACCAAACAAGAAGCAACACAAAACTCAAGGCTGGACACAAGCCACCATTCTTTCTTCACTCCGTCAAGTAAGCAGTTCTGCTCCGTTATTTCTGAGAAGCTTCAGACTAGACCTTTGTAGACATCAAGTCAACAGATTTCGGGTGTTAGTGTCGCTTGGTCACAAGGGCGTGTGCGTTTCCTGAGGTTGTTTTCAGGCCGGTTAAAGGGAAGCCAAAAGGAACACCGCCATTTTTGGACCCCCTGTTCTGAGACATATCCAACACTGGGGTTTCCTCCAACAATCATTTTATATGTTAGGGTAGACTACAAATGAAGCATATTATGAAGATTTTTTTCTGTGTACCCCAGATGTGGGTCACCATGGCCGGTCATCAATCCAGTATTGAAGATTGTGGGCACCAATGCAAGAATACCGAGTCTGGGAGCCACATCCATGACTTGCATGAGGGTTTGCCTCAGGTACCCTGTACTCTTTGCCTTATATCGCGGGATTTTCCGCGGGGCCCCGCGCGGAAGGGCGCCCTCAAAAAGGACACCCATGACGCGCTGATAGCATGCGTTGACGCCTGAGTGGAGCGCCCCCGCTATGAATTCGCCGGGTACGAATACTAGGCTCCCTGCGAAAGGCTGAATGGTTTGTATTGCGAGTACCGCGGTTCGGAGTACGCTGTTTCAGACAAACCAGTGCAGGAGATTCTAATGAAAGTTTGCCAATGATGTTTGGTGGCACCGAGGGTTGTCCCAGAGGAACCTGATCTTCCTGGCAGCCTCCCTTCCTGGCACCCTCGTTTGTTCCCACTGATGGCAGGGAAGCTTGAATCCAGTTTAGTCGCCGGGAAGGCAGCGGAAGCCAAAACGGCACAAGCCAACCTTGCCTTCCATCCCTGGGTTCGTGGGTTCGTGGGGGGGGAATCCAACTGCCCTGGAGATAAGCACAGAAACACCGGCACTGGCCCCAAAGAAGTAGGATCATGTGTCCGGTCTCAAGTGTTTGGACATGTCACCCCAGCAGAGACTGACGAGTGGCGCGTACATGTTTCTCTAGGGCGAGTTGTGAGTTTCATCTAAATCCCTTTTGGCTTTCTGGGTTTCCCTGTGAACCTCAAAACGGGTTCCCTTTTTTAGGCGTGTCACCGGGCGCAGCTCGGTCGCTCGCGCGCGCGCGGCCGCGCGGCGGATTTGAGCCGAGGCCACGCCTCGATCTTCGACAAGCTGCTGGGCCGAGAGCTGGAGCCGCCCTACGCTCCCGGGCCCTGGAAGCGCGGGGTGGGGGGCGGAGGGCTCGAGGGACCGCTCCGTGCGGGGCAGGGCTCGGGTGACGAGCGAAGCGCAAAGGCTTAAAGGGAGGCGACTCAGTCGAGTTTCTGGTGAGGTTTGCAACTTGAGCACAGGGAACTCTGCAGCAACAGCTGGAAGCAAGTTGAAGGAACTAGTGTGGGCTGCGTCTCTGTTTGAGCATGGGAAATCCTTAAAAAGCAAGCCCTGTCGGCAGTAGTTGAGAGGAGGGGCCGGCTGCCAACGGAACAAGGTTTCGTTTGGAGCTAGCCACCAGTTTGAGATCATTTTTCCGCAGAAGACAGAAATTGTTTTTTCTCAAGGCCCAAAACAAGAGGAGTTGTTTGCATGTTTTTGCCCTCCTTTGAACATGAAAAGAATAGAAATAATGCCTCACCTTCTCTCATGGAACTTGCTGCTTTCCGACTAACGCTTTTTTTTGCCGGATTGCTCCAAGCCTCAAGCAGATGGCAAGATCGGTAAGGGCAGACAATTGGCAAATAGTTGCCTTGCCAGGGATGCAACAATTCTACCCCGGAGTGCCGCGTGGGTTCAATGCGAGCAACCCTCTTTTGCATGGGTCAGCTCGATCAACCACCCCATATTTTGCAGCAGGCGGAACACGAGCACCCGCACCTTTTCTGAAAGATTCTCGGAGCCCATCGACCACGAAGGTTCGTTTCTTGGATCAAAGATATTTTGCCTGAAATGCCCTGGTGTAAGTACCTGATCCAACAAGATAAGTGTCTGGCCTCCACGTGCAGAATTCTTCTTCAAGGAATGTCACCCAACCTGGCCCTGAAAACGGCTTTGGCAAAACGGACCACACAGACAAGGTCTTTCCTAGAATTGGAACTGTATTGTTTTCGCCGCCTTGCTTTGGTTTCCCTTTTCCCAGTCCCACGATTGACGATTTCTTTGGCTTATCGAAGTCAGACATGGTGGTCCAATTTTCCCTTCCACTTCAGTCAGGGCGACATTTTTAGTGATTGGTTCACAAACTCCAGCAGTTGGTTCACAAATCGATGGAGTGAAGTCGACGAACCTCCGTTTTAAAGTCGTTTCAACTCTTGGCAACATGAAAATGTGAAGAAACCTCCGATCTTAAAGTTAAACACGATGAAGTGGAAGAAACTCCGCCAGTTGGTTCAACCAAGCGCCAGCTGTGTTTCCAGAGGTCCCCAGGTCCCGGCACTTTTGGACGCCAGGGCCCCATCGGACCAGAAGCGGCCGGCCGGCTACTCCAAGGCAGGGGGTTTTAGGCGTAGGCAGGGGGGTCCAGGTCTGTCAGGTGTTGGAATCGACGTGACCATGGGGGGAACATGGGGTAATTCTCATTTCGGGATTTTTCTCAGGTTTTGGAATTGAGAGGAAGAGAGCTGCACAATGGCCGCCCTTTTGTTTTCTTTGGTGGGAAATGGCTGAGGATCTAGGATCACTTGCTGCGACACCAAGGGAACCCCCCTTGAAGGTGATGCAGTAACCACGGGAAGGATGAAATAATTGGAAATTGAAATCCTGGGGCAGCATCCCGTTTCGGTTGCGGGATAAGAAGTTGCAGGACAAACATCAATGTTTTCGAGTAGTGCCCTTGTACCCTTTTTTTGGGGGCGGGTTCCCCTACTAAAATAGACCACGGAGAAAAGGGTACCCTTATTCTAACCTCTCTACTGGAGGACCTAGACATGCTGAAGTCAAGCTAAGTAGGTCGCTTTGAGGTATGTAGATGTCGCTTGTCCATGTTTTCCAAGCTTTGCTGCGAGCGAGGAGATGTTCGAGCTCTTCGAGCACCCTTTGGCGAAAGACGGGGCCAAAGACGGAGGACGGTGGTGGCAGAGGGGCGGAAGAGCACCAGGAGTTTGATTTTCAGACAGGAAGTGCTCTTCCATTTGCACAAGACGATGTTTTCCCCGGGTTGGTTTTGAAGGGCATCATTATATATATATATATATATATATATTTGACCCGGCCGACGTACCTGCCAATAGAGGGAGCTGTTCAGGTTCAGGTTCTGGGACATTTTGAGATTCCCCTTGGATGATCGTTGGGGTTAGCCAAGGCCACGCAACCAGTCCGCGTTGGTTGCGTAGTCTGTTTCCTCCACCTTGAGGCCAAACTTGGAGTTGCTGTGCTCGCCCCACAAAAAATGCGGATCCCAGGGGCCTTAGGACGTATCATAGCAAGATGCTGATAGCTTTTTTGTGCGACGGACCAGATGGAACTGCTGCCGCCCAAGCCCAGACATGGCAGCCACAAACACACAGACACACACACACACACAGTCCAAGGGGGAGGTGAGATGTCAGCCCGAGACCCCGAGACTTCGAACTGGGGATGGCGCAATATGTGGAGCTCCAAGCTTAATACCACTGAATGTTCAACCGACTAAGTAAATTGGTCGTAACCATGGTTGCAAGTCAGCTAACTGCAGTTCTCCCACTTAAAAGCATGGTTAGAGCTCATTTAGTAAGAAGGCTGAACATCCAAGTAGACAGCTCATTCGGGCGGGTAGCGTACACCACCCTTGACCGGGCATTTTGACACTTTCTGGTCGTCGGAAGCCGGCGAGCTCAACACGCTACAAAAGTCAACTGGAGCGACCTTTCCTTCTCGCCTGTTGCAGTGACCTGGAGCTGGCAAAGTCAGTCATTTGTGCCGACAGCCATGAGCATCCGAGCAACCAGAACCTTGCGGCAGAGTACTCAGAGGTTGCGATAAAGTGTACAACTTAGAGGTTGTGCCTCTTTTGAATGAGGCTGCAAAACCAGAAATGACAACCATGTGTTCACACGGAAAACTGGGCTTGGCTGACTTGTAACCGTGGTTTTTACCGACTAAGTGGGTTGGCCATCCAATGTTTGAGTGTTCCTGTCTGTGGGGGTTCAAAGGGGAACCGCCTCCGACCCCACTTGATAGCTTGATCCAAGGTGGGGTTGATCCCCTTTTTCTGGCAGGAAACCCGGAGGTCGTCAAGCAGAACGGCTTCTTCTGCCGAGAGCTTGGCCGATTTTGCAACGGTTTCTTCGTCAAGTCGCAGGGGTCCTTGTACCTCCATTCGCTTACTACGTTCAATATCCCCTCTTAGTTCTCGTGATGCTTCAAGGGGGCAACTAAGGAACCCTGGGTCAATCGGAATTGGGCCCTCCCGTCCCCCGTTTCAGTTGGGATACCTACTTACGTACCTACATACCTACACACCTACATACCTACATGCATGCATACATACATGTGTACATATATATATATATGCACATGTATACGTATATATGTATATACATATATATATATATATATGTACACATCTACACGCGCATCAATGCATGAACAGCTATAAAGCAGGCAGCCCACCTGCGTGCGCCCGGCTTGTCTCATATGTGTTCAGAGCCCACTCGCAAAGGGAGCCATTGCCGCCCAAATAGTGATTAGTTAAGTGACCGGCCAGTAAGGCGCAGTTTCCCTTGGGCGTCGGCTCCTGTACATACCTGGTTGCGAACATGTGGCGCTGTTCTGTCATACCAATGTTGGCTTTGCATACGTGCCAGGGTGAAAAGACTTGAGATTGGTAGGAATGATCAGCAACCTCTCAATAGAGTGTTTCCTAAAAAGTCAGCCGTGACCATGACCAACAAAGAAAATGTATGACCATGGCACATATGAGGTTCGGTCAAATTTCCAGTCTCGTCTATGCTGTGGGAGGGATGTAGGGACTCACTAATTTGTCAATGAGGGAAACTTTTAATCAACCTCCCAAATTATTGTAACCCGCCCCCCATGGCACGTAGAGGACTGCCCATGAGTCTCGTTGAAAGACGCCCAGGTAGCGTCTTCCGAAGGGGGAAGTGAGCCTCCCGGGGAATCCGGAGCTCTCTCGAGAAGCCAGGGCCAGCTTGATGGAACCGAAACAGGCGCCGTTGTTTGTTAGAGTTGACACAGTTTTTCGGCTGATAGATTCCTCCAGTTGGAGGCAAGCCAGAAGGAGGTTGTTCATCCTTCCAACAAGCATGGTGCACAGGCCACTCTTTCACTTGCAAAAGGAGTCTGTGCACTTCCATTATTAGCCCTACTCACACGGGTTTGCAACGAGGTCGACTAGGGGAGCGGGTCTTACTAGCCACTTCGCTATCTCCCGGACCATTTGCGGTGTTTTATGTTGAGGTGCCCTCCTTCTGGCTTCAACGGGAAACCAAAGACAAAACACCATTTTTCTGGTTCCCCTTATTTGAAACACATACACATCTAAGGAATCAGGGTTTTCCGACATGGTTTTGCACCAGCCTTTGGCCCAGCCCTGCGCGCGATCTAGTTCGCCAAAGAAGCCAGTGCCCTTCCGGATACGAAGCCAAAGCTCACGGATGCGAGCGCTGAAAGTTCGGACGGGGCCCCTCCGGACTGAAGTCGCGTTCGCGGCGTGGGTTTCAATCTTACGTCCTGGGGAGAGCGAAGACCTAGAATGTTGATACGTGTGGTTTTGAGCAACAGTATTGTTCCCGTGGTCTGGTTTGCATTGGTGGTTTGGGGATTTGAACGCCTGGTTCTTCAACAATGAGGGGGAATGGTTATGGGTTATCGTGTAAGTACAGACCCCCCTTTCACAAATCCTTGGTGAACGAAATCCCCATGTTTATTGATGTCCAGCACTTGGGTTGATCAACAAGAGCGCATTCCGAGGAGTTTGTTTGAAGTCCACCATTGCCCAAAGAAAGCCAAATCTGAGAAACGCAGAGAGGTCTTGGTCTCTACTAATCCGAGGTGGGTCCTGCTAGATAAGGAGGGCCCCCTCAAACAAACAAAAAGAAGCAGGGCCCCTCCAATTTGCCCATGTCTTCCTGCGCACAGACCAGTGTGGTTCATGGCGTCCATCGAAAGACCCTCATCGTTTGTTTGGGGATAGGTAACCTCCCTCCGACTAACATGGCCCCGTCAGAATCTTCCAGGTACCCTCCAGAGATATTTTGCATCCTGTTCCCAGCCACAAGCACAGCTGTTCGGCAAGGCCAATTCAGAGGTCGGGGTTCTCCAGTTTAGTTGTTTTGGTGAGGGCCTGAACTATTCGAGCATTAATTCGAAGCAACCAAAACGAGCAAAACAACTAACAACCAGCAACGACGATATGAACAATCAGTATCAATGGCAACACCGGCACGTGTTGGTAGGACTCAAAGGCAACGGGCTTTGAGTCGCTGCTCACACCGAAGCATGGGGTGTCCCCAATCAGTTCGCTTTCCCCCTAGGGATTTTGGCCCAACCCGGGCCGACCGTCACTTCCCGCGACTGCTGCAACAATGGCAGCGGCGGCGCCACACCAGCTGGTCCTCGGAACCCCGAAATGGCCCGAACCGGTTGTTTGACCCTCACTTTCGGTCTCAGAGAAATCCCAAGACGCTGGGAGGCTTTGCTTCTGGCACTTTCTGAGCACCTTGCGGGGCCTTCTCACCCATGTGAGAGTTCCCCTTGGGCCGTCCATCGCTTGCGACAACGGAAAAAAACGACTCGTGAAGAAGAAATGTGCTGCGCCAAACCAGATTGTCCGCTGCGGGTAGTAAATCGCCTCTTGGAAGATGGCTTTCCCAATGTATATATATATATACACACATATGTGAGAGCATTTTTCACAGTATGTCTTAAATTGGAAAATGGACCCCTTCAAATGGTTGGTGTCCTTTCGTTGTTCTTTTGAACAATCCAAAAAAGAGGGTACCAAGTCAAAGACAACAGCCCCGCGGCTGCGGGAACCCGAACGCACAAGGAGCGGCATGGGTGAGTCGCGTGCTTTTTGAGAGGGGAAGGGGAATACGAAGCTTCGGATTTGGTACCTTCAGACGAACACAGAAGCCTCCAAGCAGCCCCGGACCTTGTCCCACACCCCGAGCAAATGTTTTTTTGCCACTGCCCTAGATTTGCCTTCGTGGTTCTGAATCCAGGAAACCTTGCCTCCTCTCCACCAACCTTACAACAAAAACGCCGGCTTTAGAAAAAGACAGATGGGTTGAACAGAAAGAATCCACTAGTCTGAGCAACCTGGGCCCCCGACAAAGGGGGTGTTCCTACTTCCCTAAAAACACCCCCCCAAAAAAGGTACCAGAAAAAGCACACACACACACACCCACACTACCCCAACAAAGCCGCTCCATTTTGTGTTGATGGCTTGAACCCAGTGTGTTCTTCAGAGCAAATCAATCCCCGGCTTTCTCCACTCAGGAGCTCCGAAGTCAGACGCTGAAGCCAAGGGAGCAAACCACTTTTCTGGTCGACTTTGCTGGGAGAATCCTGGTTTTAGTGGTTGCCGGCATTTTGGAAAATGACGGGCGTTGGGGTGCCTTTTTTTGGTTGGGTTGATGCTGGACCGCTGGTTCCAGCGCCTTCCAATGGCCAAACATTGGTTCAACCGCCCTTGCTGGACTCTTCCTCTGGTCTCAGTGCTTTGGAGGGCACTTTGTTTTCTGGTCAGAATTTGGGGGGGTCCCCTCATTTTCCCAAGCCGAGAAGCGGGTGACGGTGGCTTCCATCCAACAACACCGCGGCGCCGTTTTCGGATCCGCCGGCCAGGCCTCAGATCCAATGACACGCCGCACGTCCGCCTGCCCGGCGTGGTTTTTGAAGCCGAGAACATGTGGCCTCGCGGGTTGTGGGGGTTGGGGGGCTTGAGGGGCCACGAGCTTTGTGCTTTCAACTAGGGCTGGTTGTTTTACGACTTCTAGGGCTGGTGGGTTGGGTTCAAAAGCTGCCCGGCATGTCTCAGGTTCGTTCCTTTGGAATCTTTTCGGTCCTTTCGTGAGCCGCGCTTTGCTTTGCGCGCTTTTCGCAGGCACGTGCCGACTTTCAACAGATGCCACGAATCCCTGTTGGGAGAGTTGTTGGGGAGAAACTTTTAAGGGCTTTCGCTCTCCCGCGGGCTTGGTTGTTTCGCGCAAGTGCTGCATGTATGGGGACCTTCGAACCCCGTTTGGGGGAACTTACTCCCCCTAGAAACTCCTTTTGCAGGATCGTCTTTTCGAGTTCCATGGTGCAAGGGAAGTAACGAAGACCGTTGTAGGGGTTTAATTCTTCTCAGGGAACGATGAGGGCGAAGAAGGTGTTGACCATTGCGTATGGCTACACATTTTGATTGTTGGGACGCTGCCAAACATGGTTGGCGGGCGTAACTTCCTCTCATTTCGGCGCAACGGGATTTGGAGTCAGGATCTTTCTCCAACCTGAGATTTTCCCAGACCATTTTGGTATGTGGGGAACGGGACCGACACGTGGTTCTTTGGTTTCCCTTGAAACCGAAGGGTACCAACTCCCAACAAACACACAGCCCAAAATCATGGTTCCTACAAGGGCACCTCCCCAACCACCTGCTTTGCACGGGGATTCTCTAGATCTCTTCTTCGCCAGGAGAGGTGCACCGCGAGGCGCGCGCGCGGTTTGTGGTCCGATGCTTTAGGCCACTAACCAGTGGTCCTCTTTACGGAAAGGAAACCAAGAATCAGTCCCCTTTTATGATAATTGACCCCCTCGGTTGGAAGGGAATGAGAACTTTTCCCCTTTGGATTTGAAAGGTGGATAGTGGCGATACTGCGGGAAATAAATAAAAAGGAGCCCCCCGAATTCAGGCGGCCGGCTGGACGTGGCTTCGTAGAGAGCCGGGCGGCCTGCTGGGGTTGGGGCTTGCTTCAAATTGGCTTTCGTAAAACGGATGGCTTTTGACGGTTTGGAAAGTTGGTTTTCTGCGTGGTGTTGCACAATTAGATTTGATCATTTGTTGTTCTCCCTTTTCGGTTGCTACCAGAGGTCAGAGGGGGTTTGATCTCAGGTGAGGTAAGTCAAGGGTAGGTACAGAACCACCACATTTGCTCCTGTGTCAAAGCAGGGTGACAGCAAGCCAAAATGGCTTCCTTTTATTTGATGTGCCTTTAAGCCTTTAAACCAACCTAAAACAGGGTACCAACAACAAACACGCCCAATTCGAGCACGTGGAGCTGGATTTTCACTGTGGGTCATGTCTGCAGCGTCTTTGTATACTTTCGGTACCAAGAGAGCCGAGTCAACCACTTTGGTATCGGAGAAAAGGGGCATCTATTTTCCGGGAGCATGTTTTGGGTAGACCGGAGTGCCGAAATTTCGGCTTCACCCTGCAAAAGTCAACGCCCGTGAATACCCTCTTGCCAGCACTCGTGAAAGCTGACGATCGGAGGGTTTCGGAAGACAGCCCTCCTGAAAAGGTCGAGGGCAGATGGGATCCAGGCAGAGTAGCGGTTGGGCGCGTTTTGCCTGGGACACTTGGCTATTTGTTGCTCAAAATATTCCCTGAACTGGGAAAAACGTGGGGCCTCCCCCCATACACTACTTCCTTACCCGAACAGGGAGAATGTGCGGGAAATGTGCTTTGCTGATGGCACGCCGTCCCATATGGTTCTCGTAGACTCTCACGTTCGCAGTCCGGCTTTGGCGCAGCCGAGGCAGTCGCCGCCGCCTGCCGTGCAGGAGAGTTGGGCAGCTCAGGGCAACTCGTTTTGGGACAAACACTTAGGCGTCCTGAATAGCAAACAAGAAAAGGATCGCCTCAAAGAATGTATATATATATATATATATATATATCCCCCAGCCACTTCCTCACATCCGCGTTTCAAGGGACATTGCCTTGACGCCCTTTTCATTTTGTACTTTTTGCAGTTGCAAGGGGACGGGGAGAGCAGGTAGAAGGTGTCGGATTTCAGCAAACTGCTCCCACGTCCCACTCCGAATCACTCCCCGACCCCAGCCCCTGGGGCTGGGATCGGGGTCAATTGGACCGAGGCCAGGTGGCCCGCGACGAAGAGCTAGCGCGATGGCTGCAAGAGCCGCGAGCTCTGTGCGCTCGCTCGCGGAAGTTTTCCGAGGGGATGGGGAAAAAAGCGACCTAGGGGGGGAAGCGAATTCAGGGATGAAGGGTTTTTCATTAGGATCTCTCTGCACGCATGATTGAGCTCATCTGGGGTGAAGGGATTCCTTATCTTTAGTCGGTGAATTCGAGTAATTTGCCGGAAAGAAAGAGTCTCTGTTGGTGCATTATGTTTTAAAGCACCGAAGGCTGTTTTTAGGATCATCTCTTTTGCCCGGGCTTTGTTTCCTGTTGTCCGCTTTTTCGGCAAGTGAGCAATAAGGCCGCTTTCAGGGGAAGCCCTTTGTCTATCTAGAAAAGGGGAGTGCTCAAAAGCAAATCATGTCACAAGAAGAGCAATCTTGCTCTTCAAGTGACCTCCTGTCAGGTTCCGTAGCGGATGGACAAGTGATAAAGCAGTAAACCGCATCATAGAATTGCAGAAGCTGGCGTTGCTGCTTGGGCAAAGAGGGCATTTTGCTGCGGGAACCTTTGACCAACATGACTAATTTCTTGTCCATCATCGCAAACCCGGAAAAACTCGCCTTAGCAAGACAAATGAAGATGCGTCCGCAATTGCACATGATGTTGTTTCATCAAGCATTGCAACGCACCTGTTCGAGCTGCGGCTCTACCACAGCAGCAGCAGCCGCCGCCGCCGCCGCCGCCGCCAAAACACAAAGCAGAAGCAAACAAACCATCGGGAGCAGTGCTTGGGAGACTCCAACGCACGCTGAGGGCGGAGAATGCCAGCCCTCGCCGACGACGGCGCACGGACTCCAGGCGCTGAAGGGTTGACTGAGCTGCCAGGTGTGTTTCCTCGTGTTTAATGCTGTGGCGTTGTCTTGGCGCGATAAATTAATACATATTTCCTGCAAAACATGCATCAGGTGCCTTCAAATCCGATCAACAGTTCGGTGGAAGCTGTGAGTTAAGTCCTACTGAGACCATCCGCCCCGTTCTGATTTCTGCCCCGGGGCAATTTTGACCATGTGACTCAGCTGTTCCAAAAGAAGCCAAGCCCTAAAGCGCCATCCTGGCTAGTTTACTGTTCTTGGTGTGTGTGTGTGTGTGTGTGTGTGTGTGTGTGTGTGTGTGTGTGTGTGTGTGCGCACGTGTGTGTCTCAGCTTTTCGTGGTTTGATTCACTTCATTTTTATTCCCTTTTGACCCTTGTGCCTCAGAAAGGAAGGCAAGTGACAAGAGGTCAACAGCTTTGTTTCCAGCTCCTAAATCGGATCCGCATGGCCGAAGGCCAAAGGCCGAAGGCCGAAGCCGAGGGACCCGAAAGGGTGTGACAGGCAGGGAAAGACCCATATATTCCATCCACTGGTTGGTTTCCTTTATTCGGGAATCCCCAGCTTCATTCAAGTTTGTGGGTTGAGAACATCTGCCTTTTTCAGCTGGTAGACCGTGTACTTGAGGTCCATGAAGGGGTCGTTGATGGCCTCCGCATCGGAGTTGGGCACCGCGGCACGGCAAACCAGGCGCATCGGCCGCGGCCAAGCGGCCAAAGTCGTTGCCTTGGATAGCCGTTGAAAGGCCCGAAGACGGCCCCGAAGATTGGGCTAAAGCCGACCCCCGGCTCAATCCTCGGCCGCGTGCGCCAGTAGCAGCGACAGCGTGGAGCACTCTCGGAGAGGCGCGGTTTCGGACTGGGCCTGGGAGGTCAGGGAGGGGCCGAGGAACATGTTGGCTTTGTGCAGCTGCTCCCACACATTCTTGGGCACCTGATAAAATTGAAGCCAGCAGCCATGGCTCACCAAAACCTTGCACCATTCCAGCAAAGATCGAGAGCCCCGCTGCAGTGCTACCATCGAAGAAGCAAAAGGAAATATCGGCAGTTGCCATAGTGTGGCCTTCTCCAAAGCAATCTGTTCGCATCAAAATAGGCAACATTTGAGTAAGCACAGCTGAGTTTTCTGGCGCAAAGCAATCATATCTCTCCAACACACCAATTTGGAACCCAAAGCCCCCAAATCAAACTTCAACTGCCCAAATCAAATGATTTTGACAGGCTTCAGCCAGCCTAGCCAATTGAATTCGGGGCCCCAGCGGTTTTTGGCCGATTTTTACGGCGTTTCTTCGAGCGCGAAGCGCTCGAAAAGCGCTCGCCAGTTCCCGGAAGTGGCAGCTGCTGGTCCGGCACCCCACATCCGGAGGGGCGTGCTTTTTTGGATATGGTAGGCCATTTCTCCGATGGCGCGGTTGGCTTAATGGCTTATTTGTCGTGCTTCCTCTTTTTGTTTTTCGGTATTTGGTTGGTGTTCTAGTTTTGGAAAGCTATAGACCTTGCAGCCAGAAGGATGAAAGTGTATCAATGTTGGATCTGTGCTTGTGGAGAAGCGTAGTACGTAAGCAAGGGAATCGGATCCACTGGGGCCTTTCTTTTTCGTTACTTTCTCTTTCTCAATCTCCCTCTCTCTCTCTCTCTCTCTCTTTTTCTTTCGTTCTTTCTTTCTTTCTTTCTTTCTTTCTTGGCTTTCCATTCCTTTCCCTTCCTTTCATTCCTTTCCTTTCCTTTCCTTTCCTTTCCTTTCCTTTCCTTTCCTTTCCTTTCCTTTCCTTTCCTCTCTCTCTCTCTCTATGTCTTTCTCTCTCTGTCTCTCTTCCTGTTTTTCTTTCTTTCTTACTTTCTTTCTTTCTTTCTTTCTACGTGGCCATTTTGGCACAAGCTTTGCATTTGGCCTCCTCTTGCTCCCGCGTGATATTGTAAACTTTATCATAAAAGCTTAGGTTCGTAATGTTCACCTCGCGCTCCGGAGGAGCATAATCTGAGGAACCCCTGAAAATGGATGCCCAACCAAAGGGGCGCTGATTAGTATGGTCCTCCAGATAATCTGAAATTTAACATCAGCATGGGTTGTCACAGGTAAGATGGGTCAGCAACGCGAGTACGCATAGAACCCCTCTTGAAAGGCGTCCAAATTCATTTCCGACCAGCAAGGGGCCTAGGGGTCTTGTCGTGGTTGGCGACAACTGCGCACGCTGGGCTGCTTCTGGGCTTCCTTTGCGGTGTTCGGCTTGCACCAGGCATTTTCAACTTTTGGGTTTACACATGGGTCCATCCACGTGTTACAGCAACCTACCTTTTTTTCCGCTCCCATGAAATTCTTCCAATCAAAACACTTCTGGGCTTCAACGACCCTTCAGAAACCCCCGGGCGCATCCCGCTCGGCGCGCGGCTCGCGGCTCGCGGCTCGCGGCTCGCGGCTCGCGCGTCGGCTCCCGAGGCCGGTGGCTCTGAGCGTCTTTTCCAGCGGCGCCTTCTTCGGGTGTTGCACCGGGACCGGGGGCCCAGCTCCCCTCGGCCGTGGGTGGGTAGGGGGGGGGGGGTCTCGGGATTGGTCCGAGGGGCGGGGGGGTGTTGGCGGGTTTTGGAAGGAAGCCAAAAAACGACGCCAAGCTGTTTGGAGGTCCCGGAAGGTGGAGCCAAGCCCGAATCCATAGGCACCTGCCTTTGCGAGAAATCCTAGTCAAAGCGGGAGGGGGGAGATGAAAGAACATTGAACCTGCTTTTCTTTGGAGAAATCCGGTCAAGTTGTCAATCAAGAAAGAAACCTGGATAAAGGGCCATTTAGATTACATTTTTTGTTGTTGCGTGAAATATGTGAAGAGTCGCCAGCAACGGCAACGTCTAGTGGGAATTTGGTAGCTACTTGCAAAATGCCAAGAGGTTGGCCAACCTCCTGAAGTCTGTGGGGTTCTGGTGCTTGGCAACCAGCCAGTGAGAGCCCTTGCTCGGGGGTTGTAGCCTGGCTTGTTACCCACTTGCCAACGGCTTGCCAGTATTCTTAACTTTGACTCATATGGCCGTGGGTCAACACCAATGGTACCATTTTGGGGGTAGGTGCACCAATTTTAGTGGGATTGGGATGTTCACTGGGGGTACGGGCCATATGGCGTTTGGTCGAGAACTGTAGCTCGGCGAGTGAAGGTAGATATCTCCCGGCGAAACACCATTCATGGCATCCCAGGACCAGCTACAGTACATCCAAGTCAGGTTTCTTCCGGGCTTGGGCTTTTTGAGGGATGAACAGCGGACCCTCGCAACACGCTTTTTCTACCAACAACTGGCCTCGACATCAAGTTGGCGTCCACAGGGCTTTGTGATGGATGCAACTTGGTTCCGGGGCAGGTTGGTAAGGCTTATGAGATGCTTACCTAGGTAAGTGAATGCTCTGCAGGTGACTGGAAGCCGGGGTTCAGTTCCTTCAACAAGAAGGAACATGTTTGGTGACCCACAACGATCCGCTAAGGTGAAATGGGATCTCGGGATCTTTGAATCAAAAGGGTCGTCTGTTCCAGGGCTTGTTGACTGGGAGATGGAATCAACTTTCCTTCCACGAGCCGCCGCCTCGCATCCGTGCTCGTCGGCTCAAGGCTTAGAGAGAGATACGTGCCGAAGGCACAAGGGCGCGGCCCATGAAGCCTCGAAGGTTCAGCCACCTGTGATGAGGGAAGCGCCTTTTGGAAAGACCAAAGAAATGCGCTGCGAACAAACCTAGCTGCTCTACAGGTCGCCCTTCCCATTTTACCCAGGCTATTTTGGATCCTCGAGCGTTCGTTCAACCAAAAGCCGCACCGGAGGCTTCTCGTGTTTTCTCCCGGCTGATGGCCATGGCCCCGAAATGGATTCGAAGCTTAGCCCTAGCTTCTTCCTTTCGGCTCTTTGGATTCGAAGCCTTTTCTCTCCAAAGTTGAGCCAAAGTTGAGCCAAAGTGGGAAGTTTTCCACTGAAGTTTCAAGTTGGAGCTCCCCACGTCCTTGGCTTCGCGCTTTTGGCACACGTCCCGGGCCGGATTGCTTCGCTCCGGCGCCATGTCGGAAGTGCTGGCGCTGCAGCTGGAGGATGACCTGCCGGGGGCCGAGCTGACCGGCGCCCGAAGCCCACGCCCCCGGCCGCCAGTTTGGAGGATCTCCTCCAAATATGTTTTGTAGAGGATGGAGCAGACTGAACTCGGTCCTCCAGTAGTGCCCTTTATCCGAGGGTTCCCCCCACTAAGAAAAAGGGTACCTATTCTATCCTCTCTACTGGAGGACCTAGTGAATATAGAACAGAGTCAACCAAACTCTATTCCGCGTACCCCAAACGTGGGCCAAGTTTAGGAAGTGCTTCTGCGATATGGTTCGGGTTCGGTTCGTAGTAGGGCTCGGATGAGTCGACTCGGGGGCAAACAACTCGGGTTTTGCTGCTTTTGGCCAAACTTCAAAGAAGCCTGCAGTTAGTACCCTCCACAAAAACGCAGACTCAGTGGTGGTTCTAATAGGTCACGGCGCCAGGGACCATGGAGCCCCGCGACACTTTCATCGCAACGGTCAAAGCCAAACACATGTGCAACGGTCAAAAGACATCTTTACTCGGGGTCAACAGGCATGGTGACCCGGATCCTTAATGACCAGTGCAATAGGAGCATAGGCCATATAAGCAGGGCACATATATAGTAGTTTCCAATGCATCGTCAACCGTGGCAATCGTGGGCAGTGTCCCACGTACTGTATTTCGCAGCACTTGTGTCTTATTCTTTGCATTCACCACATGTACAGCCACAGCCTCTGCACCACAAGTGGGAGACCGCTGTGTACAATCTGGTCTCGCAGTTGTTCCTACACACCCAAATCATCGCGGAGTGCCACTCTCAGTTGAAGTGTCATTGGATGATGTGAGTCCGTAAATATCCGTGTCTGTGCTTGCGCGCGCGCGCGCGTGTCTCTGTCCGCGCAAGGGGTCAAGCGCGCGCGCGTTTGTGTGTGTGTGTGTGTGTGTGTGTGTGTGTGTGTGTGTGTGTGTGTGTGTGTGTGTGTGTGTGTGTGTGTTTGTGTGTGTGTGTGTGTGTGTGTGTGTTTGTGTGTTTGTGTGTTTGCGTGTTTGCGTGTTTGCGTGTTTGCGTGTTTGCGTGTTTGCGTGTTTGCGTGTTTGTGTGTTTGTTTGTTTGGGTGTTTGTGTGTTTGTGTGTTTTGTGTGTTTGTGTGTTTGTGTGTTTGTGTGTTTGTGTGTTTGTGTGGTTGCGCGGTTGTGTGTTTGCCTGTTTGCGTGTTTGCGTGTTTGCGTGTTTGTGTGTTTGTGTGTTTGTGTGTTTGTGTGTTTGTTTGTTTTGTTTGTTTGTTTGTTTGTTTGTTTGTTTGTTTGTTTGTGTGTGTGTGTGTGTCTCTGCACGTGTGCACGGCCGGCGGGTGCACAGCGCGGACGGCGAGTTCACTGCCGGCGTGCGCGTGCTGGGTGTTTGTGTGTGCACTGGCTGCTGCAAAGTCAACATGTTTAAGAAAATCCCCCCCCCCCCACCCCCCAACTCCCAAAAGTGGATTGGGAGCTCACGGCCGCTAATGGCGCCGTGAGCTTCTAGTACCTGGTTTCGTGGGGTGGTGGAAATAAAGCCTATCTAAATTTCAAAAGCAGACAACTTGATAGCCATTTGGAAGAAACAACAGTCACTAGCTCTGCAATTCCAGTGATTGGGGCACCTCCTCAAGAGTCGCCTTCCCCGGCTTAGATTTTTGCGATTCAGAGCTTTAAAGATCTTGGAACGGCGAGTCATGGAAATTGCGCACACCACACATCGGTTTGATTGGGAGTTTTTTTTTGAAGAGGAAAATGAAGGAACCACTGTCCTTTGAGGTCGGGCAATGGGGAGGAGGCGATGATGCAGGACTTTGTGCGATTGCACATGATGAGCCCGGCCCCCAGCGCTGCCTGGGTCAATGGAACCCGATTTGTGCCGTGCTTTGGGAGCTGGGCAACGGCACTTAAACGGCGTTCTTCTCCTTGATTGTTCCAAGTAAGGGAAGAGTGTTGTTTAGGCAAATCCGTTCCGGTTGAGTATTCTTTGGTGTTGTTTGGGTATGGGGAGGTTGGGTCTGATGCTTCTAGTGGAAGCGGATCAGTTCGACTCGTTTGAGCTCAGGTGCTGGGCCCGAGGGCAAGTCTTCAGATTTTTGCAAGGGGGGGTCCCCTTGGATAGCTAGGGGCAGCAAGAAGCAAACAGGAGGACACTGGTCACCCCAATTTTGAGACACACCCTGCTTGGTTTCCCTATGGTTTCATCCAGTTTTCGATGGTCCACTTGGGAGGCACGTTGGGTGACTCACTGAATTTCAAGCACAAGAAGCAGGGTGGAACCCTCGATTTCCCACGCCCTTCGCATCCAGTACCCGCATACTTTTGGATCTTGGCACGTATGCCAACGGTCTCCTTTTGCTGACCACTTTGGAAACCACCAAAAGGGACCCGCCAACAAAACGACAAACGGTTCCTATAAAACTCTGCCAGGGCTCGACCATGTTCTTCAGAGGGCGTGAGCGATGGCATTGTTTCTCTTGAGGCTAGGGTTTGAACGGTTTCCTTTGGCTTCCCTCCGGGTAGACAACAAGGTGCCTTAAAATAGGGGGACCCTTTCTGGGTGGCTTCCCTAGTTCCTACGTAAACCCATCAAGGCGGTGGCGACATGCTGGACAGACCGGCAATTGAAGATCAAGAGCAGCCACACGAATGACCTTCGCGAATTGGCGCGGCACATGCGCAACAGCTCATTTTTCTTGCTGGGTCTATTTGATCAACTGCAGTTGGGGTAACATCCCCATCTCCAATATCCTTCCCTGAAAAGCCTGGGAGGTGTCTTGTGAAATCGAACGGCGAATCAAACTCCAGAAGCGCGGATGTATATTATCCTTCCAGCAAATCTCGCTGCAGCGCAGTTCCCTTTACATGGAACGAGGCATAATGCAGCCCTTTGCCGAGCGGGTCAAGGCAGGGCGCTTCAACCGAACGAAATTGGTTCGCGTGTTTTGGTGCCAGGAGTTGTACTTCAGACTGCTGGGAAATGAGGGGGTCCCTGAAGTTCCACAGAAGGGTCAATTTGTTGGCGTTTCAAGCTACAGGTGCCCTGAACAGTGGTCAGGTGCCTACCACCAACCAAAAGCGGACCCTAGTTTTACAACCCCCCATGAGAACGCGCCAAAACGAGCTCAGAGCCCTTCAGAATAGTTGGCAACTCAAGTTGATCTTTGATCCCGTAACAAAAGGAATCCTGGGTTCCCACTATCATATTCCCCTGCAGATTAACATGGTACCTTTTGGGGAATTCTCTTGTGTTATTTCTTAGTCTGCAAGGAAGTACCCCTTTTGTAGTTGATTTAGCTCGGGACTTGCGGCCGCGATCTGCTTGAGCAAAGCTGGCGGGGCCAAAGGCCCGGCTTCTCGCAACCTGTCGGGGAATCCTGCGTTGCTCGCTTTTGGGTTTGACCGTTAACTTGTGAAGCTTTCAAGTCCTGGAGCGTTGCATTGAATCAA